GCCTTGCATGTCTCAGGTGAAGCTGAGTCCTGGCCTTCGTACTGCTCGGTCTCCAGCTGCCTTCACGTGAGTCTCTTGTTGCTGTGTATACAGCACACAGCAACAACACACTTGCTAACACACTTGGTGTGTAACTACACAGCAACACTAACACACTTGCTGTGTAACTACACAGCAACACTTGCACAGTTATGCTGTGTAACTACGCAGCAACACTTATACAGTTATGCTGTGTAACTACACAGCAACACTTATACAGTTATGCTGTGTAACTACGCAGCAACACTTATACAGTTATGCTGTGTAACTACGCAGCAACACTTATACAGTTATGCTGTGTAACTACACAGCAACACTTATACAGTTATGCTGTGTAAGTAGACTGGTGGTACGTGTGCCTGACGATTCTCTTGAGAAGCTTCCACGCTTAAAATGTGTGTCGATACTTTAAATAAATAATAGTATTGATAAAGTATATGGTATACGTGGAGGGTGAGTCTGGCGTGCGTTGAGATTGAGACTGGCGTTTGTTTCCCTATCCGCTTGCAAAGGCACAAGTTCTTACTTGTGCCCTTTTTTTTAAATTTAAATTTAACATTTCCTGCTCGAAGAACCACTGCACATTAAACGAATGTTGCTCTGTATGTCGATCGCATTTCGTTAAAGCTATGACATCTTTGTGTTAGCATGGCTTCTTGTTTACGCTAGTCGTATTCATGACGTTATTGAGTGATGAAATAATGTAACATATCTCCTATAAACTCGACGTTTTTCGGCAAGAAAAAATACATGAAAGCAATCTCAAAAAATTTTAAATTAACCGTCTTTTGATCAAGAAAAGAAGAGTGTTACTCAGTTACATCGGAAACTCATTAGTGAAAAGGATGGAGTTCTACACTCGGCAAATTTCCTAAATTCTATCACCCACTCATAAAAACGAAAAAATTAGAAAATAACTTTATCTCTATGAATCTCTTCAAGAGTAGTACACTAACGTATCTATATTAATAAGTTATTGAGCCATCCTAATATGTCTTTCCTCTAAAAATGCATTCTACTATCTTTAGGCAATATTAATAAATGTTCTAGTATTTTCCTATAATAACGAAATGTTCGTATTGGGTCGATTTTAATAAATATTTCCTTTTCCTTGCAGCGTGGCGACTTTAGTGAGGTGGCGACTTTAGTGGCATTGACGGTACATATTACGTTGGCTAACGTGCTACTGAATTAAATAGGTACCTAGCTTCCACACTCAGGATGATGTATGTTTTCGGTGAATTTTCCTGCGCATTTTCACTTTTTTTTAAGCTATTGCTGTGCACAGTTGGCGCAATGTAAAGAAAATTGATTATCTTCACAAGTTCGCGCTCATGTTTGCGCAATCCCGGCCATCTTTATTTTAGAAGAAATTTTCTCCAAAGTCATATGGCAACACTGATTCACTGAACACCATCTGTTTACATTTTGTATGTATAACAGCCGCAGTTTACGATTACCGTACGTTCCGTATCCGACAAGGCGGACAACCGGAAGAGTCAGAAGTAACCCGGACATGTCTTACATTTTATTATTGTCAGTTCGACTCGCATAGTCAATATACTTGCATATATTGTCGACTAAAATAGTAGAACTATTTTAGCTTTCTAAAGTACGGCGCACAGCGCATTTTTTTACCAACGTAGTACGGCGCACCGCGCAGGTCGTTAAATGACAAAATAAATTTCCCCGCACCTGGCGCATCTTCCTGACCATGGCCTAGCTTCTTTCCCGCTCCCAGTGCATAATCTAGCGGGTTGATCAATCATATTCTTAATTTGTACACGATTGCATAGTGACAAATCAGAGTGTTTTTTAGACTTTTCCTCAAGTTTATTTTTGAGTCCTATAAGTAGACCAGTAAAGTATCATGGATACCAGCATTATCATACTTAAGAAATTGGTTTATATCTTGTGTTATTGAGGGAATTAGATATGAACTGATTCCAAAAAAGCTCTGGTTTGCCACTATGCACGATTGTATACGAATTAACTAATCATTCGTATACTTAGTGCAAGAGAATGAATAATTGTTGTTTCTGATCAAACAAACAAAAACTTTTTCTGTTTCTGATCAAACGAACAAAAACTTCTGATCAAACGAATGAAAACTTCTGATCAAACAAACAAAAACTTCTGATTAAACAAACAAAAACTTCTGATCAAATGAACGACAACAAACTTTTTGAAGATATTTCTGAAATCATAACGTCTATTGAATTCTAATACGGATCGTTAATTTTAACATCGTATTTACAAAAATCAAGTATTGCATTTCTTTTAATTGAAAAACATTCTTTTACATAAAAACAACGAATTTTTCTTACAGCTCTTCAGGAATGACGAATGAATGCTCCTCATATTGACAAATGACGATCTTACTCTTGTAGCTAAAAATTTTAAATTGAATGATTCTGTCATTTCAAAGACTCCATTGATTACAGAACTTTAGTTTTTGGAAGTGTATTCAAGAAAAGTTTCTGAAATAGCAGAAACATTTCCATTATCATTCTGAAATAGAAGCGTCATTTCCGTTCTTATATATAAACAGGATTAATAAAATACCTATCAAATCCATCCAATATCATTCAATTTGTGAGTATGAACGACAGTTTTACTTTGATTCCTATGATGCACATTTTTACCGGTTGAAGCTGTAGAATTAAATTAAATTAAAAAAATAATTACAATTAAATTTTACTAAATCAAATTTTATTATTTAATACACTAGATGGTACATGCTGTAGAATAAAATTCTATGAGAAAAATATTGAATTAAAAATCTGATTATATTTTTTGAATTAAAAATTGATGGTTATTAAATTAAATAGTATTATTAATGAACCATATGGTACGTGCTCTATGTTTTATATAATGAAATAGTTTCCCATGTTAAACAACAAAAATTTTCTAAAAGACACAAAAAGTTTGAAAACGCAGGATGGCAGACGAAATCATTCAGAATTTGAAGTGAATTTATTAACACTTTCACGGGTAAGTTACCATATTTGATCACTTGAAATCGCGTCACAAAAAGCATCACCACGGCTTCCTGTTTGTTTTTGAGGCATCCTTATAATGCCTCAGTCAATCACTAATTATCTGACCATTGTTCTATCTATAGCATCACCAGCTGCAAAGTCCACAAATTGAAATATGAGCATTTAAATCAAGGTTTTGACTTGGACAATGGAATTGACGCTCTTTCCGCATTTTCTTCAAAAGGTGGAAGTATTAATATATATATATATATATATTTATTTCTTTTGGCAACTTGATTAAATTTAATTAAATTAAATTTTTATGTTTCTAATTTTTCATTTGCATAAACTGAATTTTAATTATAAAGAAAAATTTTGTGTACTGATTGCATTTATTGAATTCTTCAAGTGTGATTTAAACCTTCAATAGGCAAAATTTGCAAAAATTCACAGAATTAAATATATTGTATAATACTTCTTACTTTCTTGAAATGGTTTCTGAAATTTTAATTTCTGGATATTTCAATGCTTGGAAGTGAATTCGTTAAGATAAATTCAACATAATAGGGAAAAAAATGGAAAAAATTCAAATCTGGAACGTATAAATGGGTTTTTATAATTAAAAAAAATTTCAATCATTTAAATCTCAGAATGGAATGTGAATCAAATCTATTTATTGTGAAATCAAACTAGACACAACCAAAACATTACTGTGTGTGACACCCTCTTGTAATACGTAAACATAGAAAACAATGTGAACATACGCAGTGGAAGAGTGGCAGTTTATCTCATAATTTTGTGTGAAATCAAAAATTTTGTTGGTGTTGTCCAATTGTGAGAATTTTTTACAAAGCTGGATGTGTTTTTTTTTATTTTAAAACGTATTCATTGCAAAAATGTGTCCGCAAGCCTACTGATAAATGACTAGTTAACTTGATTAGTCGTTGGCAACACGGGATTGGATTTCAAACCACGCGCGATTTCAGAAGCACGGTAGTTTCCAATGAGCTCAGTTTATAAATTTTCATTGCAGTGGAAGGTGGTGTAACGTGGTGGTAGGGTTGGTATTTCGATATGTTTTCTTATATTGACATGAGAATATATTACTTATACAGAATTCCACACTGTATTATGTATACTGAGTACTGACATAATAATAATACCAGTGAAATGAGAGGAGGAAGGAAAAATGCTTTATGTGAGATGGGAATGAGAAGGAAACTGGTGCACTTGATAGTGTAATGTGTTGTGTATAAGAGAAAATGACATTCTATGATGGCCACTGGCCCACTGTGCAGAGAGTGGATGAATATTGCAAGATCTTTGGCGACGCTTCAGTAGCAAAATTTATGCCTTAAGAAGATCTTGCCGACACATTTAGATTGAAATTCTTTCATTTACAATATACTGACAAATATATTATTTGTCAGTCTTTGACCAACTATTTGAAAAAAGTAAGGTTTCTGGTATGTTGGATTGATCAATCATCAGTATGCAGTGAAGCTTGTCCGGAAATCAGTTGCCATGAGTTCCCACCAAAAAAAATGTAAACATCAAGTTTACGATTACATAGTTGCGGTCACATTAGAGTGGTCAGACTGCATTATCACATGTTCAGTTGACACTTGCTGTACAGTCAGACTGTTTTTAGGGTACAATTAGTTATTTGGAGTAACACGTGCATGCAACCTTGTAAATACGTTCGTGGCTTGTAAATAGTTTTTCATTACTCAGCGTAAATGGCTTTTCATTAAAAATTACCCGGCAATGCATCTTAAAATTACCCGGTAATGCTTAGGGCTTAAAAACCCATATATTGGCGATGCTGCATCTACCCTCTGCACCATGGTATGATGGTTTTATGAATGAGGTTGAGGGAGCTGATATTTATATAGTGTGGTATGAGGGCAGAAGTGAGTGCATTGCAATTATTGTGGGCTTGTCTGATGGAGCAACTGTGGCTGTGAGTGATGGACAGTGATGGCAAGTATGTACCCTGTTTGATTGCTTGTAATATTCTATCTGTATTTTCATCAGATCTATGTTGATGTTTTATAACTGGATACCATCTAGAATATTATAGAATTTTTTTTATATGACTAGGAAGATGTGAAATTTTAGTTACAGTTCCTGTATAAATAAATGCAGGTCATGTCTATAACCATCCTAAAGGTCTGAACTGTTTCATCCAACTCCTAATTTGTATTCAATACTGTCCTAAATTTAACTCTTGTGAGAATAGAAACCATAGAATACTATCAAGACAGAACTGTGATTTGCAGCGTTTGATTACGGTACACCACAATAACTAAAAAGCTGTTCAATTTTTTTAAAAGTTGTTGTTTACTTAAGTTAATAAAATAGACCCTTTTTTCTATTTTTATTATCTGGCCTGCAGCTGCAACATAAGTGTCAACATAAGGGCACCCGGCGGTAATACTTTAGATTAAGGGCATCCAAAAAAATGGTGTTTTTTTTTAATTATATGTTTTTTGGGGTGTAGATTAAGAATCTGAAATCCATTTTTGGCAGTGCCAATTTTTTCTGATTTTTTATATAGGTATTTTCTATAGAAAATGACCTTGACCGGACTGGACCTAACCTGCAAGTTGGTGGAGGGTTATATATATAATTTGTGTCTAGGTTTTTCTTGTTTGAATCTAGGTTTTTCTAGGTTTTCTGATGCCAACTGCCAAAAACGGATTTCAGATTCTTAATCTACACTACAAAAAACATATAATTAAAAAAAACACCCTTTTTTGGATGCACTTAATCTAAAGTAAAAGTAGGTACCTAATACCCACCCGGCAGCCGGCACTGATGTTGCTCATATACATGTGTGAATTGATCTAAAGTGAGAAGGGTGTGAAGTAACTACTCATTAGAAAAAAGGGATAGTTTTCTAATCTTGGTGAACAATTCATAGCGACAAATGAGTAAGTTTATGGCCATGCCAAGATGCCAGAATGAATGCCCAGTTATAGTTGCCTTTCAATTGCCTAGAGAAGTAGTTTTTTTATAACCCGTGCTCATTGATAATTTCACCCATATTCATCATATGAAATGTTTTTTTTTTTTTGTAACAAAAGCCCTATTTGTATCTACTTATTTAAAGCAGCTCATCAAAATATTTATTTTCTAAATAGAATTAAAATTTTAATGTTATATATTTGGCTTATTCTTACATTGCATTACAGAATCCAGTCTTCTGCTGGAAGAGCCTGAGAACCAGACAGTCATCTTGGGTGATGCAGCTGTGCTAAAATGTCGAGCAGTTCCTGGAGAGGGTATCACGCTTCCCATTATTCTCTGGCATGCTCGTAAAACTGGGAGAATTGGTCCTGGTAAGTTTAGAAGCCCAATAAGTGCTCTATACCCTAATGTTGTAAAAAAACAGAGTTGCAATGAACAAGTTAGATGGACTTAGTAATAAGGTTGTTACAACAGGTTAGAGTTGTAATACACATTACCAATCTGGCTCATGAGAATTTTTTATTATTGTGATCATGCTGTGAATATTCCTCATCAGATTTTATCTGTATACATAACTACCAGTATAGTAGATATGGTAAACTGGTAGTTATGTGATTTTGTAAGCAATAAAGAATTTTGTGTTTGTCTCTATTATAATACATATTTCTTGTAATTTGAAGTAATTCAGCCTTTTTCTTATTGATTTAAGGTATTTATACTGAGTTACATATTTTTTATACTTTAACCTAACATTTCAAGATTTTTTTCCATATGCTTGCAGATGTTGCCTACAAGGACATGCACATAACAGAAGCAGGCCTTATATGGCCTAAAGTGAAGAAGCAACATGAGGACTGGTACAGATGTAGTGCCCAGACGCTCTCTGCCAGCACCCACTCCCGCTGGGCATATCTTCGGGTGCTGGGTGAGTGGCACGGCTTGCACTCCATGCAATTAGTTTGGTGCAATGCACAAAACAAATGTTTGAGAATGGCCATTGATTATTAAGTACAGGTATTTATAAGAAGGCTGCGCAGTAGCCATGTAATGAACTTTTTTCACGAGTAAATTGTTGACACAGATTTTGATTTATAGATTGTTGATATAGATTTGCCAGTAATCACTCAAAGAACAATTTTGATATCATCTTTAGCTTATATTCTTTTCATTAAATGATTATTTAGAAATGTATATGTATAAGAGATTACAATTTCTGATTTTTAAACTTATCTGCCATACATACAGAGGTATTATCACAATATAATCCCCCCTTGGGTGTTAATTGCATTAATTTGTGTATGCTAATCACGATTAGGTTCTCATCTAATTTGCCCAGAAACTGCCCCCAATTTTCAAACATGAAGACTCTTATTACCCAAAAATATTTTGTTACTGAACATGATTTTACCTGAATAATCTACTGATATTATATGTTTTCACACTTTTTTCAACACTTTTGTTCAGCCAAGGCACACATCACAGACCCCCCTACAAACCTTCAAGTCAACGAAGGCTCTAAGCTATCACTGCAGTGCGTAGCATACGGGGATCCTTTGCCCACCATCACCTGGAGACGCAACAAAGAAGAGGTCTAAATTTTATTCAGTGCTCCCAAGCTCCCATCTGTGATATAAATCAGTGTTATTGTTGTGATTATTTTCTACGAGTTATTTCAATATGAAGTTTATTCTCCAATTATTTTATTCATTAAAAATTGTATGCATGATGCCATTTGCTTTCCTGATGAATATTCTTGTTGCAGCTGGAGGAAGGCATCGTGGAGGTGCAGGAAGGGAACTCAGTGCGTTCAGTGCTGAGTGTGACGGCCACCAGCACGGCTGACTACTCCTGCCGCGCCGTCAACTTGGTGCTGGGCTTGTCGAGGGAAGACATGCACACCTCCACCCTGACGGTTTTCCCTAAACTCAGAGGTATTGTAATAGACCTACTAGTCTCTCTGTCTCTGTAGTGTTGCCTCGGACTCGGTGGTGTCGCCCCGGACTCGGTGGTGTCGCCCCGGGCTCGGTGGTGTCGCCCCGGAGACATGATTGCCAACTTTAAGGAGCCTTGCAAGTCTGCCGCCAAGGTAAGCTCTGGGATTCTTACATGCGTTTTGGCAGAAATTTTCCCTTGAAGTATTTTTCCGGTAATTTTGAACTCTTGATTCACTCGGATGCATTACATGTGATTTTATGAGGCATAAATAAATTCCCACGCATTGAGTCAGTGAAACCGAATAATTGTCAAAAAACGTTGTTGAACTTTATAAAAAGTCAAAAAGATCTGCTCAATTTATATCTCCTCTCGTGATATTGCTTTTGGATTCGTCTCTAGCAAATCTATAAAAGGACTGCAGTCGGTATCAACAGTGACATATATCTCCAAAATATCCATTTTATTGCATGCATTGAAAAAATTCAGTTGTCAAAAGCTCGCCTTTGAACGTCTTTGACAACAGGCCCGAGAACGAGAGATCCACCTCAATTTTGATTTTGAAAACCGCCTTCCTCTAAATGACACTTTTAGGCAATCTAAGTATAAATTTAAATGCCATCTAAAGAATATATAATATATAATGCCATCTAAAGAATAAATTTCAATGCCATCTTTTATACACCAGTAGTGTTTCGAATTTTTTCAATCCAGAGAAGATAAGTGTTTTGAGATTCATTCCAATGTTGTGCATGCCAGGCTTCATTTTATCTCCTGATACAGCCTGGCATGGAATTGCTCACACGAGTGTTTGTTTCCTAAGCTATTTCCATTCCACTATACTCTCAATAATCGTATTTTCTGTATGAAGAGTTAGTATTGCTTTACAATGCCAGGTATCATTTGTAGCTTGGTTTGGTTAGCAATTTTTTGAAGTGAATCTGATGATGCTAGCTGCGCGTATTTATATATTATTAATAATCTGCAGGTGAGTCCTGAAATCTCTTGTGAATATGTGAAAGTATTAACTAGTTTCTCATTTCTTCTGTTCGCCGCTTGTAAGCTATTAACTTCTCATGTGTACAGGCATCTCGCACTCAAGTTTGTTCTACTTATAATTGCTATCCTCCGAGTTCAACAGTCTTCGAAATGAATATATGTGTCATGCATAATCCATATACTTTATTAAAATCTTCAACTTCAATAGACGTTGTTCTTGTGCCCGATATAGATCGTTCCCTTTCTACAACTATTCTACCATCAACATTTGTCTATTCATTTCATGTAAATTCTTCATATCAATCTACTAGAATTTTTAGCGTTCAACTGCGTCCAGCGTAACCTGTGCTGTCGCACTAATGTCCCGTAACAATGAAGTAGCGCGAGGTCAGGAGGCATAAATTCAATTATTAAGACGTTCAGTGTAGGTTTTTTTAAACGTATTTTTTTAACGGGGTTTACTTCTTAACTTTATTTCTGAAATTAAAAATTAGATTTATTTACCTGAACCTCAAATATTGACGAACACTGAAAACTACCGTAGTGCAATGGAAAATTCCGCCGATGATTGTTGTTGGTAACACTCTATTTGAAAATATTTCCTCATGCTGCAAAATTATTTGAGAATCGATTAGACAACCATGACTCAATTGATGCATCATTTAAATATCACTATTTGGTAACAGAAAGTTTGTCTGAGTTGCAGTACAAAAGAAAGGAAGTCACTGCAGGTCAAACATTGCTGTAACCTAAGACACCACTTCTTGCCGTGTGGAGTTAGTTAAAATTAGGAATAAGTCTAATTTTATACTATACTACAATAGTCTATTCTGATGAATAGCTATGCTATGATGAATAGCTATGATGTCTATCTACTCTACTGTAGATCAGAAAATGTTAATGCACTGACGAGCAGTTCTAACATTTATGAAACTTGTGACTTTAATTTGAATATATAGACACCAATGAATAGATGAAACTAAGACGAAGGCCTCAACGTAACTGGAATATATTGGTGATAAGTTGATTCTTGTTCAGTTTAATTCCTAGCTTTCCATGCTAATTATTAGCATCACAACGTATCCAATATTCGTAGCAAAGGCTACTCATCAGACTATTGGTCAAGCCGCGATAGTTTAGTTTCTTGTGGCTGCTTCCAATTCACATTTTAGTATATAAAATAATTTCTTATATTTATCCAAGATATATGATTGGTTTGAGCTTGCAACGTGCACGATGGATTGATGTTGTTCAAGCACAATTGTGCTCCTGTATAACGCGTTTAATACAAATTTGCATGTACAAATTCATACAAGAATTTGTATTTGTACGTCATGCAAACACAAAATTAGATGTGTTAGTAGTATATTTTTCAGTCTGCAATTGATGATTGTTAAAAAACAGTAGAAGCCACTGCATGTATTTATTCATTACAAATTATGCCGTTCCTTATCGACTTTTGTATCAATTGATCCATCGTCGATTAATTATTCGCTCATGCATGTCTTATAAAAGCGACCTGTGAAAGTAACCCACAAGCCACGGTCCACTTCCAACTATCATTGTGTCCCACTTGTCAAAAATCTGTTATAATTCTATTTAATTTCTATCATTATACGAATCCGTACAAGCTAGGTACGGACACCAACAATCATATTGTAAAAAAGTAGTACTATTCATTATTTTTTTCTTATTTAAATCTAGTGCACGAATGAAAAGATTTAATTCTCAGTTGACATTGTTTTTTAATTAAATGATTACGTATGCATTAGTAAAAGATAAAGCTCGTTGGTCTACTGAGAAGCCAGCGTATAGTAAACGTCTTACGCTTGCATGCCTTGCATGTCTCAGGTGAAGCTGAGTCCTGGCCCTCGTGCTACGCGGCCTGCAGCTGCCTTCACGTGAGTCTTGTTGCTGTGTATACAGCAGCACTAACACACAAGCTGTGTAACTACACTGCAACACAAAGTTACGCTGTGTAACTGCACAGCAACACTTACTGTATTAACAGTTGTGCTGTTACTGCTGTTACAGTTATGCTGCGTAACTACACAGCAGCACTGACACGCTGTGTAACTAACTACACATCAACACTTACACAGTTATGCTGTGTAACTACACAGCAACACTTGCACAGTTATGCNAAAATTTTAAATTAACCGTCTTTTGATCAAGAAAAGAAGAGTGTTACTCAGTTACATCGGAAACTCATTAGTGAAAAGGATGGAGTTCTACACTCGGCAAATTTCCTAAATTCTATCACCCACTCATAAAAACGAAAAAATTAGAAAATAACTTTATCTCTATGAATCTCTTCAAGAGTAGTACACTAACGTATCTATATTAATAAGTTATTGAGCCATCCTAATATGTCTTTCCTCTCACACATGAGAAGTGCATTAGTTTTCACTAAATTGATCTTGCCAACTTGTAAAATGTTCTGCAATACCGCGCCCTACGTCCGTGCAGTCTAACAACAATACATTGTGGACAATTTATTGAGCTTATTTATTTGAGTGAAGCAAAGAAGTGTACGAAGAAAAGTGGTATAAAATAGATTTGAAACAGATACAGGTGTTTTAGAAAACATTTCTTTTAATTATGACATTTGACTCTTAAAAAGTCGAACCATTGCCTTACGCACCTTTCGAATGTGAGAATTTCATAAATCAAATCTAATCACACTTACAACCATCTATTATATTCGTTTTTTACACGCGAAAAAATATTATAAAGCCGTCTTGCGCATTACAGCAACTGATGTGCCGCTACGCCTACCCTGAGTGCGTGGTGCTGGAGGGGCAGCCCCGCGGCCTGCCGCTCTGCCGGGTGGGTTGGGTGACGGTCACATGCCTGCGTGCGAGGCGCTGCCCAGCGCGAGGGAGCGCGGCGCCCGCGCCTGCAGCAACATCGGCCTCACCAGCCTCAGGGAGGACCTCGTCACGTGTCAGTTCATCCACAGTAACTCTTCACCGTCCAGGCTAATTATGGTGAAACTACTTTGATCGCGAGATGATGTCGTTAAAATTGCGTAACGCATCATCGTTATTTTCCGTTAGATGTCTGGCGAAATTCGTTGAAATTTAGCAATGAATCTTTGTCATTCCAACAATGCATGCCTGGTTTTGCACTGACGGTGACTCGGGATCAGCTCTCTAGATACCAACAAGATTCATTGGGTCTATGCATCCATAGACTTAGAGCAATCCCTTCTGCTACAGATAATACTGTCCAGACCTTTAGTCTTCTTCAAAAACGACTTCGATATTTTGTGTTTTAAGATTTTGTACATGAAACATTTGCAAACTGTATGTTAGTTATTGGTTATAACTAATTTATTTGCTATTTGCTCAAGCAGCCCATTGTTAACCGCCTTACCTGAACAATTGATCAGAAATAAAGTCAGAGCATTTTCATTCAGGGGCACCACTGCAGAGTGCTGCTGCAGGTAGAGAAATAGTTTATCTCTCACTAACTACAAGACATTTATGTGCTGATTTTCGTTCCTATTACTTGGTAAATTCGGTTGACCGACATATTAGATTCGAAATTACTGCCATTGTGAATTATTTAAGACGCCTTATTAAATTTTCCTCATGTGTAACAGTGATAATGCGTTATTTATTATTCATAATTCGCGTGTTACAGATTCTTGCATGCGTGGCAATGGTCGTTGGTATCTCGGCACCGTGAACAAAACCTCCACTGGCATCCCCTGCCAGCGGTGGGACTCTCAGACTCCCCACAGCTTCAGCCGTCCCCCTGACGTCTTCCCCGAGGTGCAGGGCGCTGAAAATTACTGCCTTATTTATTATTCATAATTCGCGTGTTACAGATTCTTGCATGCGTGGCAATGGTCGTTGGTATCTCGGGACCGTGAACAAAACCTCCACTGGCATCCCCTGCCAGCGGTGGGACTCGCAGACTCCCCACAGCTTCAGCCGTCCCCCTGACGTCTTCCCCGAGGTGCAGGGCGCTGAAAATTACTGCCGCAACGCTGGTGGGGAGGAACCTTCCCCTTGGTGCTACACTATGGACCCTGGGGTTCGCTGGCAGCTCTGTGACATCCCTGTTTGTGGTGAGTTTTGGTGCGAATTTTCTAACAAAATTTTCGTCAAGATTTTTTCATCGAAGTAAATGTAAACTCGTGAAACTTGTCATCATCGCTTTCCCGTCATTAATTCATGTTAATTTAATCAAAGCGACTTCCAAAAAATTTGTATATTCTCATCCCATTCTGTAGCGCTTCCATTTGGGGCAGGCTTTGGATAAAAAATTCTTTGGTTTCATCATCATCCAAGCTACCGTATAGTCTGTATTAAAAGCCTAATAATATACTGCAGATATTACACATACAGATGCATTGGTTTTATTTGTAATTCTTGCATCTCTTATGACTTAAAAGTGGGAATTAAATTTTTTAATAATTTAATTGGCTCATAAAAACTAGATTGTTCAGTCCGAGTTAATCTAATCATTGTTGGGTCAATTTTTTCTGATTGGAATATCTTCTGTAAAATTTAAGTAGTAGAGTGGCAGGTAACATTGTCACTTTTTACGTGTCACTGCTACCACCTATAAGGTGATGGTGTAAATTAGATACGAAATTCCGATTGAGCCTTTACCCGAAGACCAATTATTTCTGTCCTATACATATCTATATTGTAAATTATCATGGTATAGTCCGCAGAGGTTCTTTCTTAATGCAAGCTTGATTGAAGACCAGACAATGTAATTATCGTTACATGAATTAAATTTAAATTCCCTTTAAAGAATAACGTTCCTGGAGCAAATAAACAAATGCTCCTTGTTTGTGCTCAGGAGACAGCGGTGCCAGCAACCTGCACGGGCGCAACACGTCGAGCGACGACACGTCAGGATGGAGTGCGCTGCTCAAGAAGTTGCTGGTCCCCGGCGAGGACCACTTCGTGATGCTGTGGAGCGCCATCGCCGTCGCCTTCCTCGTCTCTTGCTTCCTCTTCTGCGGCTTCTGCTACGTCGTCGGCGCTAGTCTCTGGAAAAGCCAGCAGCAGTCGGCGCTGCCTGACTCCCAACGTGTATGATCATTAGCAACATTTTCTGCTTCTTGGCTTCTTCATTATCATTATCTTGATTATGATGGAAATTGGGACGTTGCAGACACTCTAAATACACGCTAGAGTTGACTAGACTATTGCACATTTGTTTTATTTGAAACGGGTAAAGCCATTATTATATTCTTATGAGGTTACTATCTTCTTTAACGATGAAGCCAAAATTCTCCAGCTGCAGAACTTTTTTTTTTTTGTAAATTTGAACTGATCAACTCCTCCTCTCGACACAAATGAAGATATCTGACTATATTAGAGCCTTTAATTTTTTTGTGTGATTTAGCATTGGCGTAAGCTAAATGTTAACGAAGTTCAGTTAATAAATTTCATCAAGTAAAGGAAGAAAATTTATGTTATCAGGTTGACTTGATGGTAGTAAAATTGTTTGGAATTTGTAAGAATTGTTTAGTTAGTAGCTAGACCTTGAGTAGAGTTAGAATTGTTTTCATTGCTCATACTAAGACGTCGCGTGAATGACGAAATAAGGCTAGAAGGGTGAAATGCAATGCAGTATGGTTATCTTTATATATTTTATATTTAGTTATATTGCAGTATATTAAAGCCTCACTGAATGTATTCGCTTTACATTATAGCTTATGAATTTCGTTTATTTTTGTCGATTATGTGCTACGTGATATGGTTCAAATTTAAATCTTGTTTAGACAGTATGCTTAATTTTCATCGACTTCCCTGAAATTAATTTAAAATTTTTGAGCATAATATAATTGTAAAGAAATATTTTTCCAGTTTGGCACCGTCAGTAAGTCATTGTTGTTGCAGGGCGACGCTCTGAGCGCCGTGGGTATTCTGGTGCCTGACAACGACGCGTACCACGAGACCGGAGCGCTGCTGCACCCCAGCCTCCACCCCCTGCAGTATGACCGCAACAACATCGTCTTCCTCCAGGATCTCGGACAGGGCGCCTTCGGGAGAGTCTTCCAGGTGAGCGAGCCATGTTTGCGATATATTGTTATAGTAATTGTTATGGATTGTTAAAGTTATAGATTAAAAATTCAGACGTAACCGCATCAGGCGTTTGTTTATATGGGCACGACCATTGGAGCAGTACTGGTAGACCATTTCAAATATCTATATTGTATTTAGTTCAAAAGTTCACGTAGTTCTTATGATTGTCCAATTAATCTTTTAACGTTTGTTCAAGCTTAATTTTTAAAATTGTTTACCGTAGAGCTGCCCTGGAATTATTCAGCAAGTTTTATACAGTGCTGTTCACATGGTACGAAGTGCACGGTAACTAAGTTTGCGTGTCCAGGGTCGCGCTACGAAGTTAGTCGCCGACGAAGACGAGACGGTTGTGGCGGTGAAAGTGCTGAAGGAAGACGCGGGCTCCGACATGGCGGGGGACTTTGAGCGCGAGGCGTGCACACTGGCGGGCTTCCATCACCCGAACATCGTGCGACTGCTGGGCGTATGCGCCGTGGGCAAGCCCATGTGCCTCCTCTTCGAGTACATGGCTCGTGGCGACCTCAACACCTTTCTCAGGGGCTGCTCCATTCAAGGCATCGATTTTGATATTTATTGCTGATTTTTATATATATTCTTGATTTGGATTTGCTTTATAAAAATACAAATGTGAGCACAGAGTAAATATGAGCGTTGCGAAAACCAACTCATTATCTCTCCTCCAAAGTTGTTGAACTGAAGTATTTTATGTATTGTTCTTAACTTCCCTTGCGCCTAAATTCCACTACGGCAAAGTACATGTAAAGCAACTAAACTTTATAATCATTTATTTATTTAATATCTAGAATGTATCCAGTGTGGATGATCGAGCAGGAGCTGGTCTCTCCATGACGCTTGACGGCCGCGGCACCGTGAAGCTCTCGGTGCAAGACATGCTGCACATTGGACGGCAGATCGCAGCGGGGATGGTGTACCTGTCCTCTAAAAAGTTCGTCCATCGCGACCTGGCCACGCGCAACTGTCTCATCGGTAATGACATGACCGTCAAGATTGCCGACTTCGGTCTGAGTCAGCGTCTCTACATCGCTGACTACTACAGGGGCGGGGATAGAGACGCCATCCCCATCAGGTCAGGTCCATGTTCAGTGTATTGTGCTCTACAATGATTTATGAAGAGCAAAAGTGTTTTGGTGATTAAAGCCTCGGCTATGCAGCTACAGTGTTACGTTTGCAGCATCGCACAAAAAAAAATTAGTCAGAAAGGAATTTTGCATAGGTGATGCAAATATTTTTTCGAATTTTGGGTCGAGCTTTCTGCATGGTTTGGTTTGAAGAAAAAAATACGTTGAAATTGAGTTGGTGTTACTGTATTCATGAGTTGAGTACTTTTACGAGTGACGACGAGTTCAGGGGATTGTTGCATACTCATTACCACTATTCATATTTGAAGCTCACATAAATTCTGGAATTCAGATGGATGCCCCTGGAGTCTATCCTTTACTCGCGCTACACCGTCGAGAGCGACGTATGGGCTTTTGGTGTCGTGCTTTGGGAGATATTCAGCTTTGCTCTGCAGCCCTACTTCGGCATGAGCCACGAAGAGGCAAGTAATCAAATTATATTTGCATCATGTTGTTGTTTCTAACCCGCGTGTGTTAGTTTTCTATTTCGAGCGAATGTTAATTCATTCAATCAATTTGATGTGCAGTTTCATAATCTGAATGGAGGCTATTGTCTTCATGAACAATCATCCTGCCACGGGTGCAAGACATTCAATTACATGTTTCGGCAGGTGGTTGCCCTGCTGCAGTCTGGCGGCCTGCTGTCGCAACCGATGCACTGTCCCCCCGTGGTGTACACGCTGATGCTGTGGTGTTGGCGCACTATTCCTCAAGACAGACCGGAGTTTTCTTCAATTTACTGCGCGTTGAGTGACCTCATGAACGGCAAGACCCCTGACCTCCCTCTCATCAGTCCTCCTCCTCATCACGACTCCAACACTCCCGCTGCGCACTGTCCCAAAGAGGGTTTGTGCTATTCGTCGTTCACGCTTCCTCATCAGCACATCACGGCGTATGAAACCAGCGCCTCGGCCGCTACCTTAGAGAACCCGAAATCCAATAACTGCGCCAGATCATGCAGAGGCGGCGGCATGTGCAGTTATGCTGCCTTCCAACGACGGCCCAGCGCCAGGGTGCTGTCTTGTCAGACGCTTCCTCGCAACGATTGTAGCGCTCGTCCCCCGATGTCACCGTCCCATAAACGGCTGTCTCAGTGCCTAACGTCCTTAGACTGCTCGGTGAGTCCATATCAGCAGCGGCCTTGTAATCTTCAGTCAAGTAAAGCGAAAACTGACGATTGTGGCGATGCCTGCTTGATTTCCAGAAGCTCACTTTCATGCCGAAAGCAAAGTATTTCACGGCCTATCCTCAATTCTGCTCCCGTTTCTTCCGAGTCTGGATCCGATGTTCAGTGCAACTCTGCTCATCTCTGCGAGTCTGTTCATCACCCGCCTCATGATTATGCCTATGATTCCGTACACTCAGAGTCCACTGTGTCTTTCCCGTCTGACTCTGCGCCGCCTCCTGCATCCGAGTCTGGGTCCGCGTGCGTCACATCACCGGAGTCAGCAAAGGTTCCAGTGTCAGAATCCAATGAGACGTTGTCAGCCCTAGCCGTGCTCTAGTGAGGGCTCATCTAGCCGTGCTCTAGTGAGGGCTCGTCTAGCCGTGCTCTAGTGAGGGCTCGTCTAGCCGTGCTCTAGTGAGGGCTCGTCTAGCCGTGCTCTAGTGAGGGCTCTTCGCTAGAACTACAACAAAACTAACATATCTCGCTCAGCGCTGCGTGTCCGGTGGTGTGCACGCTATAATATTAATCTGGTGAATAGGTACCCTAGACTTATATTAATCAACTTACAAGAAGCAAATTTAATATTAGATGTGCGATTCTGAATTATTTTTCAGTCGCCTTTACTGTTATGATAATCAAATTTGACATAAATCTGTCTCTTTCTAGTTTTCTTTAAATAAAATATCTGCTGAGGATTTCGGCCGATTTATGATAATACTAATATTATGTGAACTTTACTCTTATTAAGGAGCTTAAACGAATAAAACTGTCCGGGTATTTTTTCATGAGCTATTCTTTTCATCGGGTCTTCGGCCAGCCGGCTGCTCCGTCCGATGAGTGCTAAGTTTCTTCCATGCTACGGCGCTACGTGTGCTACGGCGCTACGTGTGCTACTGCGCTACGTGTGCTAAGGCGCTACGTGTGCTACGGCGCTACGTGTGCTACGGCGCTACGTGTGCTAAGGCGCTACGTGTGCTACGGCGCTACGTGTGCTACGGCGCTACGTGTGCTACGGCGCTACGTGTGCTACGGCGCTACGTGTGCTACGGCGCTACGTGTGCTACGGCGCTACGTGTGCTACGGCGCTACGTGTGCTACGGCGCTACGTGTGCTACGGCGCTACGTGTGCTACGGCGCTACGTGTGCTACGGCGCTACGTGTGCTACGGCGCTACGTGTGCTACGGCGCTACGTGTGCTAAGGCGCTACGTGTGCTAAGGCGCTACGTGTGCTACGGCGCTACGTGTGCTAAGGCGCTACGTGTGCTAAGGTTTTTTGCAATCTGTATACAAATTTTGTTGAAAAGAAGACTTTAGCTCTGATAGATATTAAACATTGCTGGCGATAGAGAATAAATCTAACTTGTGAGATACGGTAACGCTCACTACAAACCTTGATAATTTCTTCTTTTAGAGCCTCCTCTATTTTCCTGACAAAGCTGAGTTTTATTAAAATGGTATCAGTTAATATTTTAGCTATCTAATTTTTTGTAGCATAATGTGCCACTGAATATCAATATCTTATTCATAACATTGATGTAAATCTTTTATTGAGCAAAATTACATACAGCTTCAGTCAAATTTTATTATATTTTGAGCATAGTCAACTCGCGCTGTCACTTCCTCGAGACACGAGGCCGAGAAGAATTCAAATCTTCCATCAAATTTATAATAGTTCATGAGCAATAATCTAGTGGGATGTATTTTTACACTCTAGTATTAATCAGAGTATTTTTTCATTTTGATTTAGCTTAAACTATTAAGAGGATAGTTTGCAATCTGTATACTGATGTAAGTGTTTAGTATTGAGCTACCGTCTGGAGAATGTGTCCGGAACACTTCTTAAAGATAACGATTATACGTTTTCATTATGCACGTACCATTATCACTGTTTCAGTTTGGGCGCATTATCATCAAGTTTATTTAATTAGTGCCCCGACTCAGCTAACGGATCCCTTTAACCTGAAGATCTTTAAAATTTAGTATCTTTCATGTATCTTTTAACTTTACACGTGCGAAGTTTTTTCGGCCGCATTAATTATACGTCCGAGTGATGGGTCCCTGTGGTGGACTTTTTGCTTGCAGTTTTCACCCTTTATCGGAGAATCGCTGTGCTTTTTAGGTCAACTTACTAAGTCTTTTAACCTTTGTTTAATAAGTTCCCGATAATTCCGATTTCGTGTGGTACAAATTTACTGTGCAATAAACGTGCATTACGAATCAATACATCGAATCAAATCTAGTCAAAAGATAGGAACAACGGTTATTTTCACCATATTAGTTTCTTAAGTTCTGGAGTGCCGCCGTACTTGCAGCGCTGACATCACACTAACTTGACAAAAAGTAACCCCAAGCGACTTAAGAAAGAAGGCAGTATTTTGCGACTAATTACTTAATCATGGCGACAAAAAATAGTAAAGTTTGTTATGCGATTTCCAATTTTGGGAGCATGTTGGCGCCAAAAGAAGACGAATTGCGCCAAGCCATAATTATAGCAATTACTTTACACGGGTATATAATAACGATAAACCTGGTGATGAACTCGATTTCGGAAAGTTCAGTTCAAATTGCATGCATTAAATAACGCGTTAACATGTCCACTTTCGAATAAGAACTTGTACTCGTAATCTGTACGTACGTACGCGACTCCATTAACCCAAAAATATAGTTGGGACGCCTATTAACATATGACAATCTTATAAAGAACGCTTTTTTATAATCATAAATTGACGCCTTCGAAATAATCGTTGCATTTTTCACTAGTAAAGCTTGAAACTTCAGTAAAGTAAAAACATATTTTGGATGGGACAGCCATGTCAGATTAGGAGTGTCTCTAAGATATTACTTTATTCTAACTTATGTAATTGAAATAAAACGATTTTTATTTCAAAACCCGAGTCTCGTCGGACTTTCCCAGTTATTTGCTGCACGGTCAAGCATCAAGGACATGTTAATGAAACTTCTTAGAATGTAACTTCATGGAAGTTTCAAAACACCAAAATAAAAATTCTATCGCAAAACAGTTTGGCACGAACATAAATCAAAATACATTTCATGATTGGCTAAAATTCACTAATTCATCCATTAAACCGCTTTAATACAATGCAAGACGTTAAACAAGTAACTAAATTCCGATGTGCGCGCTATTGAAACTTAATATCTATTTCTAGTGTCGGATTTGTGCTCACATTGAATACCTGGCAAATAATATCACAATTACATCATTAGCTAACAATGAACAATTTCGCGTCTATTACTTACTACGCCACGAGAGATACAATATCGTGGGTGAGGTCGATCATATAATATTATGGCTTAAATTTAAACCCCCAACCCAAGCTATTATGTCAGTCTTCAGAGAATCAACAGCTCGCAAGGAAGTCAACACATACAATAAGCTTAACCATCACAGGCGACAGACGGGGAGAGCAATGAAAGGCAGTTGAGTCATTAATAGTTGGACCGGCCCTGCCCGGTCTAATAACTGTGTCAGGAAATAGCATCGAATAACGGCATAACATCGAATAACCGTACACATTAAATTCCTGAGCAGAATAACGTCAGTTGAAAGTCATGAACAGCTAAATCCGTGCTGCGGTCATAACAGTTGAATCCATACTGTAGTATTAACTGTTAAATTTGTGCTGCACGTTAGAATATGTACGGCATGACGTAGCATCGAATAAAGATATACCCACAATTGCTGAGCAGGCTAAAGGTCAGAAGATTGAAACCTGATGCAGTATATATATCGTTGAAGAGACTAAAATGTATAAACATGATGACGTATAACACGATAAAAAAGATAATCAAAGCCTATATATCGGAAAATAATAACTAGTAGTAAAATTAGTAGATGGCGCAAGAAGATGTCAATTCGAGTACAGAAAATTAGCTGAATCACTTGTAATCGATAATTCGCATATACGTCAAAAGATTGGCTTGGATTTCCAATCAAGGAACTTTCTGGACCATTATTTGATCTAAATATAAATTGAAATTAATGCGAGTATTACGAAAAATCAGCAAGGTTTCGACTATAGAAAGCGCGACACGACACAAAACCTTCTTGCAGTTCCTACGACAACTTGAGTACACATAACGTTCAGCATTTGAGCAAGACAGTAAGCCAAGAAACAATCGGCCTTTAGCTTTACTCTAAGGCTTTCTAACACATTTAAATTGTTGTACCAGATGAAACATAAATCACACGAGGGATATGAGTTGTACTCATGAATGCTTAATAATTCCCCAACTCAGACGAGTATTTCCGGGCAGAAAGTTCTATGCCAAATCGACATGAGTAGAAATTATTAACATTAGAATTAAATACTGCAATATTAAGGAATTTTTTTACATAAAATAGAATATTTGTTCAGAATTACATGAATCTACTTTGTTTAAATGGCTTGCAGGTGTAACAACAAACATTAGAATTTATTTATTCAAAAAAAAAAAAAGCTCGATGCATGGCCAAATTTCTGCATTCGTGAAACAAACTAAACCATTAGTTCTTATAGCGATAAGATAGTGCCTGAAACGATTAATGTGCTGTGTTTTGTACGACATATACCGCCTAGAATATCACACGAAAACGTTAGCCAAGTTAAAGAAAAAAGTGCATTGATTGGATGAATAAATTCCGTCAGGAATGTCGCGATGTATGCGACGAAGAAACACGGGTGTTTACTCCAGCATTCCAGATTGCCATGGTTGAATTAATACATTAATTTTACCATTAATTTTTATTAATTTAATTTTAATTTTTCAATTTAATATATATTACAATTACATATTAATTCAACCATTCCCGATTGCAGCTTTTGAGAGCGCGCCTTCTCGCGCCTCATCAGAAATTTTTGAAAAGACCAGATCTTTCACACTCAATTTTTCATATTTTAGCTTCTGAATTCGACTTTCGTGTGCTGCAATCATGATATTTTTTAATTCCTTGAAATTATGAAGGATTTCATGAGATTCCTTTTACAATGAATGAAAGGTCAAAATTTAAGATAGATAAAAGCATCATTAATTTGAAGCTGAAAAATTAGAGAAAGATGCTGGCCACATAAAGGAAGGATTAGAGCCATATTTTTAATCACCATCTTCACCGTCCTCTGAAGTGAAACGTTAACTGAAACTACGGAATAAGGAAATTGCAGTTAATTCTGTTCAAAACAGACAATTATTAGATGTGCCACACAGAAAATTGTGAGAAATATAATAGAGAACTTAGAAGTTATGATATAGGTATGAAGTATTTACATTAACACTTATCTTCGCAAACAATATATTAGTTGTTGAATCGAGGCACCTGCCCCTTATCGATCATTTAGAGAGCATAGTGGCTTGATAACATTTTGACATTTTTCCCTACATATAACAGAAGTTTAAATGGTACGATTTCAATAATTATCTTAGCGTATGAAAATAGCATCTCAGCCTCACGAATTTTTTTGACTTTGATGAATTGTTTCAAACTTTGATGAATTGTTTCAAATTATCTAACCGGTTACCATGTACTGTCGAATAAAACCAATTGTAACTACACAGGGACAAGACGATTCATTGGTTTTCTTAGAGAGCAATTATCGAGTCAAGTAATTTTCCTTTACGATTGTAGTTCTTTGGTAACAAAAAACCTCCATGTTCAAGCAAATATAAATCTGCGGGAAAGAAAATGGCAAACCAATACCAGACAATAATTGAGGTAATGGACCAAAGTGAGACGAAATTTGTAGCTCTGCTGGGGCCATACTTTCAAAACTCACTAAGTGAACGTAAGTACTTACGCTCTATTTTCTTGTCTATGATTGGTGGATTTTGCATGAAAAGCCGTCAATGATTGGTTGATGAACTTACGATCTCTTAACTTTTTTTGAAAGTATAGGCCCTGACCCGTGTATCAACGTCGGCAAGACTCGTCAGCATCAGACACGTATGATGGAACGAACAATTCGGATGAAGGTTTGGCTGCCCCAGCTTGCACTGAGTCGGAGGCGGGCAGGACAGAAGCGAAGGGCACCGTAGGATCTCCGGGCATCTCAGGATTAAGAAGGAGGTCAGGGAAGTTGGAGTTTGATGTCAATGATGCCAATGAAGAAACTGAGCCCAATGACGACACTATAGGTGACGATGACTGGGGAGTAGCGGGCCATGGGGATGAGGATCGTGACGATGAGAGGTCAGGGGAGGGTGGAGTGGTACAGGAACCATGGTAGGGGAGGTTGCGGGAAGCTGGAGCCTCAAATGAGGCTTCCATCTGCGGCTTCCACTTCTTGAAGCGGCGGCAGAAGCGACTCAGCGTCGAGCGGTTGCTTCCTATACAGGCCAATAATTCAAGCATTAGTAACATGGATTGTTACGGTTAATATGTTAATGAGTCCCTTAGCAGGCAAGGATTATTTCGATTACATTTACTTGAAGAAATCTTTGATCTAAGTCTACAAATTTTGTCTCGCAAGGAGACGAATTGATTTTAAATTGTACTGAAATTTCAAGAATGTTGTACAGACGCCGTCTGCATATAATTAAGAACTCAATAAGCACTAAACAGCTCAGTCGGACTATCCTTGCCCGCTAAATGGTCTTTAGAGTTAATTAAAAAGAGTGAACGAGTTGTGGGGAGGAATGAGCAGAAATTTACCGCAGAGAGTTCAGGCAATACAACACCCGGGGAGTTATACCTTCCATACACGAGTCTCTCTTTCTTGAATTCACTCATTCATAATGCACCAAAGGCAAGTGCATGCTTCTAATTCTTTTAAACCGTCAGTAATTATACCTTGCAAAATGAATAGTAATAAATAAATAAGAGTTTGATGTTCTTTACTGAAATAATATTAAAGTCAAATTTGTGAGATTATTCCGCACAAATATTTTGCCGGCTTGTTTAAGTTCAAAATACTGAATAATTATTATGCTTAATATGCGAAACAAATAAATTCAAATATAAGTTTGGACAAATATTAAATTTATACCACATCCTTTTTTGAAACAGAAAATAAAGTCAGTAAAACATGTGGCCACTAAAACTAAAACCAAACTTAAATATAACACCAAAGCTCGATCTAAATTGCACATCGTATTATTAGTGATCACAGTGAATTAGTAACCAAGGTGAAGCGAGGCAATTATTAATTTAATTACCTAAAATGTAAGTACGAATTCAAGGAATAATAATGAAGTAATTGATAATGAAGTTAATAATGAAGAATTGTTTCGTCCGAAGTAGTTATTTAGGTTTAATTTTAGGTGAATTGTGTCCATAATGTTCCAGTAACATGTTATGTTATTGTTGATCCTCTGCCATGAATATAAGGTTAAGATACATTATTACAAACATTTTGGTAAACTTTGATTTTACTACATAATGTAAATATTGCTACGGTGATATATGGACATATTTTGGTAAAATTTGATTTTACTACATAATGTAAATATTGCTACGGTGATATATGGACATATTTTGGTAAAATTTGATTTTACTACTTAATGCAAAGAATGCTACGGTGGTACATCACTATGGACATAACAGAGTTTGACGTGTAATATACTATGTCGGGTGCTAAATTGGTACATCACTAGTGTATGGCAGGACATGACGTGTAATGGATTATGTAAGATGTTATACTGGTGCCTCACTATAGTGTTTAATGTTAATTAGTCACTATAATGTATAGTATTGCATGGCGAATGATGGATAATGCTGGACACTACTTTGGTACCTCACTAGTGTATGGCAGGGCATGACGTGTAAAGGATTATGTAAGATGTTATATTGGTACCTCACTAGATATATTGAATGGTATTACATGTAATATTCTATGTCGGTTCAAATGTTGAATAAGCTCTCGCTTCGCCCAAGTCTGGGTGCCTCTACACTCGTTCAGATTGCACAACAGGCAACACCCAACACGAAGCTTGCATAAGTATACGGTCAATGCGTACAGAGATGCAGTTATGTACACGAGTTCATTAATTGGATGACTTACAATTAATTCCAACTCCATCCAATTAGATTAATCCAATTGAATGACTTACAATTTCAAGACACGCGTAAGCGAGTGAAGCTAATACTGCCCTGAACAAAAAAAAATATTCGGCACGTACTCAAATATTTCTCTGTTGTCGAATATAAAAAAATTGTTGTAACGTTGTGTTAGACATCAGTAATTGTTGTAATGAGTGAAAATATGGCATATTAATCATCTTGACCATTCCGCTCGAGCACGGTGCTGCACTTCAAGTCACCAAACACATTTAAAGGCAAATGTTTAAGAGTTATTATCCGTGTTAAAATTGATTTGTCCGTATTTCAAACCATGGATGTAAAATGTATCGCTCGTTACCGATCACGACGTGCTATCACATGGCGACCGAAGTTGTCGAACATGTGGATGGATATGAACTGAAACTGAACAAGTCGATCAGCGGAGCACATTATCACAAATAATTCAGCTGTATAAGTGCCTAGAACGAAGGTTTTTAACCCTCTACCGCCTGACATGAGTAACCGGAGCAATATTCTCACACATCTACTTCCCAAAAAGGATACGTTCTAGTGAGCGCAAAATGACTTGCACTGATGGTTGCCGCCACGTACGACAACTTTAAAATCTTCTCTGTTGCGTACAAACGTCCTCAGGTTGCTACATTCAATAGTTTATGTGTAATTTATGTTGAAAGTTATGTTCCCGGAGAGTGACATCAGGCGGTAGAGGGTCAAAGACTAAATTGAACTTCGATGATTTATGAAAAAATTACTTGACTGATTATATATTATAGATCCATTCTTAAGTACGTTAAGGATCACAAATAAGTTGTTCTAGTTAATTTACCGTAAAGGAGCCGCACTCTCACAAATTGTTACGATGGTCGTAAGTTCTACAGAGATTTAATTCCAGTCCAGCGTTTGGCAGGATTAGTTTAATGAATCGGATAGTGAACAGTTATTGTTGATCCGAGGTCGTAATAATTGTTGAGAATTCGGGCCCTTTTGCCGCGTCGTTCTTTTCACCCATTGAAGAGTCCTTATCTCCCACTGAGGCCAAGGTTATAATGCCATTGAGGCCAAGGGTATACCACTGAGGCCAAGGGTATACCACTGAGGCAAAGGGTATACCACTGAGGCCAAGAGTGCACCACTGAGGCTGAGAGTGTACGAATAAGGAAAAAAATCTTACCTTCGCCATGTTCCAGAAAACTGCCAAGCCACTTTTAAGAACAAGAGCAAAACCCACGTAGATAAAAAAGGCGAAAATATTTGAGAATATTCGCAAGACAGTCAGAATTAGAGGTCAACCGAACATTTTAATAGAACTTGACGCAGGCATAACAGCTAGGAAGCCCGCACAAAGCTATTCGCTGGGGAATTAAATTTTATTTCCCTTCCTTTGGAGTTAAATTTTAATTTAACTAAAAAACTGGGGAATTTAACGCGTGCTTGCCTTTTTCTGCATGCATAGCGAATCTGGCATGACGAACCCAGTGAAAAAATTGGGATAAAATCGAAGGAATTACCAGAACAGATTACAAAGTTGAGGCATACGAATTCATTCAGAAAATGCTACCAAAGGATAGCTTAGAAAATGAGCAACATCTACGCTATCTTAGCTACGGCCACAATCGAATTTTAGCAATGGCAGCCGACGAATGATTCCCGGATTTGTTGCAATAAATCATAAATCTAATTATCGCAGGAAGCATATAAATCTACTGGCAGGATAAATTACATTTAAACAAAATGCGATGGACGACGAACCTAACGAACTTTGGGGAGAAAATGACGACGCAGACTGACACTGAAAGTTCTTTCATTTATGAGCATGAGTCTCGAATGATGTTTATCAATCATAACTTTCGGGTGCCTTGAAATAAAGCTCAAATCGAGTGTATTTCATGTCGAAGTTCAATAAATAATGATGTTTGTAATATATAAAATGTTATTGATAACTACTAAATATATCAATAAATTCAATAACGCTTATTAAATGTATTCTCTTTTGGTTTCTCTCTTTAGGGAAAAACTTTTGTCACAATAAGTTAAGGGCAAAGCGAGATTAAATTGAGTTGAATCACAGCTGATAGTGTCAAGGGATTCTTAAAAAGGATGCATGGGTAGGAGAAAAATGAATTATAATGAATAAATATCGATTAATAATAAATCGTGTTTCTAGAGGGCCTTATAGCAGTCGTTCGATTCCTTCACGTGCGAGGATTCATTTTTAAACAATTATACATGATCAGATGAAATTCGAATAACTGACGATTAAAACACGTAGCACGTTATCAAAATTATAGTATCTAAAAATATTTCAGCGTGAGCAAACAAGCAGCAAAGAACAAAATATGTTGGAAAAACTTCCGAGCTTGATCCCAGCCAAGAATTAGATGATTCGGGTAGAAATAAAAAAATTAGATTGTAATAAAATATGATAGCTTCGTAAAGTCACCTATAAATATAAGCAGGATGAATCATAGGCAGCTGGTCTAATAAAGCACGTCGACAAGCTAACGTGCACACATAAATTGTGTGCACGTTAGCCTAATGAGATGAGCCTAAATTAATGAGAAACTTACGCTCAAAGAAAGTTTCACAAAAATTCATATTATCTTTCTACTATACTATTCTAGGCAATCTGTGATTTAAGCATACGAGTGACATTACTACTCTAAATTAATGTCCCGATGTTTAATGACAACCTAACCACCAGCAAACAATAGCTGTGGTCTGAGTCTGTGCAAGTTATGGCTAGTATTAATCAACGATAGCGCAACATCAACAAAGTAATAACAACAGAAATTTTTTGGAGTAAGGTAACAACACTAAAAAACTACGCATTGCAATTACCTATCACATTAGCAAGGGATAATAGCAGTGGGGAAACTAAGTTTTTAAACATGAGACTAAACGGTAACAAAGCAGAAGAAGGATTCGAGCGAGAGAGAGCAAAATCTACGGTCAAAAAGCCGAACAACAGAAGTGTATGCTAGTGTGGGCACTTTATTCAGATGCAACGAAGCTTGGGATTAAGATAATTACAAATTAAGTTTATATTAAAACAAACTAAAAAGCGAACGAGTCTATTTTCAGGCAGTATAGCAGGCATAGTTTGATATAGTTTGTAATATTTTCTAAAAACATAGTTCCGTAAAAATCTCACCATGCGTGTAAAAATCTCAAAAATGTTATCGATTTAGAAGCAAAAACTATACTACTCATGTGAGTTAATAAAAACAATATAATACAGGCTTTCTACTTCAGCAGGTTCTTGAGATTAAGTTTTTTAGCTGACAAATACGCCAAAATAATGACCGGCAGTAACCTCATGCGCCCGTACCTCTGCAGACGCTCCGTATACGAACCCGGGGCGGAGTGTGACCGTCCGGTGCGAGAAAACTGTTCCTTCAATAAGACACTCATACGAAATGGGTTGTGGAAGCTGTGGTTTTTGAGCATACATTTGATCAGGATGAGAGTGTCCAGCTTTGGTATGGAGCGCACACATGTCGACACCTCTTCCTCAGTCACTTCGATAAGTTTGCAGTTCTCTTCTTCTGAAGGCAGAGGGTAGCGGCCGCCCGCTGTCACCCACGGATGCACCTGAAGGCAATGACACGTAGCTTACAGGGTCCATAAGAACAATCATCAAAAAAGTGGTCACTTTTTCAAGATGAAAAAATTGCAATGATGTGGCTTGCGCCTCTTCCACTTGTCTACAGTAGCAATGTATTCGAAGTAGTTCGAAAGAAATAATGACGAAAACAATTTATTCACTTAATACACCAAAGACCACTTCAGAAAGTTTGAAAATTACAAAAATTTTCTGATCACCTTCATTTGGGGCAACGTGAGCCTCTGAACAGGATCTTTGGTGAGAAGAAGGGAGATGAGGTTCTTGAGATCATCAGAAACAAAAGGCGTGTCGGGGAATGTGAGGGATGAGTTACGAATCTTGTCGTAGAGAACGATGATGTTGTCGTCGTGGAAGGGCAGACGTCCGTACACGAACGTGAACAACGTCACGCCAAGAGCCCAGAGGTCTGCAGCCTGTCATGAGGACAGCCCAGTTCTATACATATTTACGCATCTCATTTGGCAAGAAAATTTCAATTAAAAAATTCCATGCCAGCTTTGACTCAAGTTGATGTTACTATATAACTGCAGATCTAAATGAGCTAAAGGTTCAAAGTCCCTTGAACCATCAACGTACTTCAGCATTGTGTTATCAGTGTTCTGGTTTGAAAACCAATAACAAATCACCCCATTTTCTTTGGGCACCAGTATAGTTAAATTTTGACTCAACATCGCCAATTGCCATTTAAGCCAGAATTTGAGAGAGCACAAAGGTTCACAATTATGAACAATCTAATTAAAATTCATTCGCCTCGTCATGAGCTCCACTTATACCTTACAAGCTCGGGTTTCAAAAATGTTGGCCCTCTAAACAACAAAGGACATTTTCTGTTATCCACGCTAATAAAGCAGTTTGCAATGGAGCCCCTATGAGAGCGGGTAGAAAACATTCCTTTAAAACCGTGCGACTGGCTTAATTAATGTGCCTGGTAGTAGCCAAATTGTACTTCAGAACGCGCGGCACTTCATTGCCAGTAGACCATAAGAAATTTTGTTCCAAAATAGGAATTAAAATAAACACAATTTATTTTATACTTCCGTTATTTCATTATAGTAGAAGTTCATCCCACAATTATTTTAAACTGACAAACTCAATTACAGTGAATACTCGCGAGATGGTAATATTCTGAGACCAGCAATTGATTTTATTTAAGTTAAATCTCGACTGTGAAGCACTAAATATTCTTATTAGAATTACACAAGAAACCCTGATTATTCATACAAATATTCTTATTAGAATTACACAAGAAACCCTGATTATTCATACAAAATATTCTTATTAGAATTACACAAGAAACCCTGAATATTCATACAAATATTCTTATTAGAATTACACAAGAAACCCTGAATATTCATCCAAATATTCAAATAAGAAGCTACAACTCACGATACTCGACGCCCAGGATGACGTCTCGCATGTAGAGCCACGCCTGGGCCTCGGAGAGAGGGCTGTCCGTAGGCACCTCCATCACCTCGCCTTTCTCCAGCAGCTCGAACACTGCACAAAGTTAATACCTGTCAGTCTTTTCGCATCCATATATTTCATATTAATTTCATATCTAAGAATCCCTGTCATTAGATCTTTTCGTATTCATATCTGTTTCATGTTCTTTTACTATCTACGAATCCCCGTCATTCTTTTCGTATTCATATCTGTTTCATATTCTTTAATATCTAAGAATCCCCGTCATTCTTCCGTATTCATATGTTTCATATTCTTTAATATCTAAGTATCCCTGTCATTCTTTCATGTTCATATCTGTTTCATCTTCTCTTCAAATCTGTTCCAATGTAGTGAATAGTGATGGCTCTAAGTTTATCAGATTTTCAAAAGAGACGTAATATATTCGAGCACAGATTTTTATTTTTCATAATTACAGGCTTCACACTGTACACCGTTGCCTTATCAACCGTATTTTCACTAGTGAAAGCTCTAACAAAGAGAAACCCAGAAAATACTGAAAAATTTATATCAGTGCAAGGTAAACATTCGATAAATTTATCCGCAGATATCATAATTCCAAGAATTGGATCGTCATAGAGAAGCAACAAGTGTCCTCAGGCCATAGTAGCAGAGCAGAGAATTTTTTATAGTATTTTAGACTCTTCCTCCAGTTCATTTGTGGGGCCTATAAGTAGACCAGTAAAGTATCGTGGATTATGGATACCAGCATTATCATACACAAGATATTGGTTTAAATCTTGATTAGATAAGGCGATTAAAAATGAACTGATTCTAATAAATCCTCTGGTTTGCCACTATGTCCGCGGCAACAGGGTCATACGCACCCATGTAGAAGTTATCCTCGTCAGGATCATCGAGCACCTCGACGAGCTTGACGACGTTGGGGTGCGCGAGTTTCTTGAGGATGGCGATCTCGCGGTAGACCGGCGCCAGGGGGTTGGTCATGAGTCCGCTGGTGCTGTGGGTGGGACCTGCCCGGGATCCGGACCGGGGTGGAGGCATGCGGCCCTTCACTATTGTGCCGGGGAATAAACGATTGGGGAAGCCAGCCGATATAGACGGTCGAAATAATTATATATAATACACGAGACTAGGCAAAAGACTGAGAGCTGAAGGAGTTCAGACGTTTCATTTCTGCATGTGGTTACTTACAAGAACTTATATTTAGAACCTTCGCAAGCAGAGTAGAAAATATCTGAAGAATCTAATATATTATCATGAATTTTTGCTTTGAGAACACAGATTTACAATTACGTAATGAGTTTTTGACATTTGTTTGACTTCCGTCTGAGGTACCGGTACATGTCGGTCAATAAATGAGTCGAAGATATCGGCCGGTCATGAAATTGTCCTGGAAATGTGTCAGCCAATAATAATGAGTCTTTGATATGTGTCGGCCAATAATAATGAGTCTTTGATATGTGTCGGCCAATAATAATGAGTCTTTGATATGTGTCGGCCAATAATAATGAGTCTTTGATATGTGTCGGCCAATAATAATGAGTCTTTGATATGTGTCGGCCGATAATAATGAGCCTTTGATATGTGTCGGTCAATAATAATGAGTCTTTGATATGTGTCGGTCAATAATAATGAGCCTTTGATATGTGTCGGTCAATAATAATGAGTCTTTGGTAGGTGTCGGTCAATAATAATGAGTCTTTGATAGGTATCTGTCGGTCAGTAATAATGAGTCTTTGATATGTGTCGGTCAATAATAATGAGTCTTTGATAGGTGTCGGTCATGAAACTTATATGATATAAGGAACATTGAACATAGCATTTCGCAGCATGCAAGTGCATACAATTCTATTCACTTTCATAGTTCTGCATGCAACTAAAGACTTTGGAGCTTATGTGCATGAAAACTTAAGTGCAAGCACGAAATACTTGAAAATATTGTGCATATTTTTAAATCTATCCACTGAACATGCAAAAACATTTTCAGAGATCAATTACTAGACGGACGCACAGAAACATGCATTTCAATTTGAACTCGTACGCTTTTTATCATTAAGTACCGAATTTACTTGTAAGAAATGGAATGGAATCTTCTGTCTGTCTAATTAATTTAATATCCAGAGTTAAGTACTTCATTATACTCTGTAGTGATTGACTGAATTAAGGTTTTGCTCAGCCTAAACGAGTAAAGCCTGACTAAATAAAAATACATTGAAACGAAAAATCGGAAAAGATGTTGGACAATGATTTAATTTGACCAAAAAAGAATTCCCCTAAAAGGAGATCCCCTGCAATTCAAGAAGATAAAATCTAGGGATAGTTGACAAGCATGAGCTAATGAGTACTATAGATTAATTTATAATCTAAGATATAAATTTTTCTTTCATTTCTTTTAATGTTTCCTAACGTAATTTCGTTCATTGTTTATTTGTTGTCCCACGTAAGCAATTTCTGTAAAATTGGAATTGTCGGGGTGGGCATTTCAGAAACTGCATTCGATTCTCCGTACTGAGCACGAGGCTGGATGAAGATGACAGAAAACACAAGGTCAACAGAGTAAAGTTTTGACATACGTACTAAAATAATAATAGGAACCTACGAATAATTTCAAGAAGATAAAAGAAAAAAAACTGATTTAAGAAGATGCTTGATGTGATGAATTATCATGATGAATATTGCTTGCTAATTCAATGCTAGATGATGAATTATCAGTTTATTCAGAAGTATATATACTTGATTTAATAAAAAAGAGACGAAGAGACGAGACGAAAGGAACAAATTTCACAAAGTGTAACATGCAAGGATATATATACGGTTCGAAGAAAACTTTGTCGAGAGAAGGAAGAAAGATATGAATGGGCAAAAATATAATAAGATTAAACGTAAATTAAAAAATGCAACATGTACCATTTAAGAGCTCGACAAAAATAAAACTCAATATAAATATATTCTTTCGAAATACAATATTTAGTGCATAACATCAATGCCACACTGAAGCAAGAATGCACAATTGTCGACATGCATGGCACATAAAAAGATGAAAATAATGTTTAAAATGCAACAAATTACATGGTGCACTGAACACGCGAGCTAAACAAAGCCTTTAAGGCTCACAGTTTTCCGTGTTTCCGAGACCGTGTTAAGAAAATCTACCAAGATATCCTACTATGAACTAAGATACTCTACTATGTTGTAACTCGCAAAATTAGGCCTTCGAATCTTGGTGCTAGTGGGGCGAATATGCAACCGGATATCGCGCGCCGTAAGACGGGATCATGCAATTCATTCATGCCCATACAGAATGAAAAAAGAAAGTAAATATACCCGCAGCGTTGACGAGCATTAAGGCATCGGTAACCTTTCTTTCAGCATATTTAGCTACAAATATTTCATCTGGTTGGGTTAATGACCAGTTAATCTTTATCATATATATTTGAAATCAAGCTTTCGTAACATCCTAGCTGTGTTCAGCGAGATAAATTTATCAAACTCCAACAAATGTAAGCAAATATAAGAGTTATGAACTACGTCACAACGTCGTATTAGGACGTAAGGCACGCAGCCTCAGACGTCACAATGAGTTTGAGTTGAGCGATCTCTGGTAGCTAAATAGGGGAACTATTTATAGCAGTTCTATGATATGCGCACACCCCTGCATCTTGATGCCTATCTAGGACAGCAATGCAATTATTCATAATTTTATTACAAAATTTTTATTTTATTGCCATATTTTTATATTTTTCTTTACAATTTATAGGTTGTTGATTTTTGAAGCACCAACTCATTAGGCGTCAAACCACTAAACCAATCCATATTAAATATAGACTCTACAACTGCATTTGTTCGCAATCAAGAGGACGACGATTGCGTCCGCTATAACAAATGATGGCACTCGGCAACGCTGTATTGCACAAGGTCTCCTTCGAAAGCTATTAATTGGCCTTCATTTGACCGGCAACAAATCTATTTATATGATAACAGATTGTTTAATTGAAGAAGATAATACTATTGTTAATAGATTTCAATATGAAATATTAGTAACGGATGAATTGAGGGATATTAGTTGCTATTAATTAAATTCACTTGACTTGTCTGCGCATATCGGCGTGGTACCCATTTAATTGTGACATACGCTACGTTCGATTTACTAGAGCATGCAGAATTTAGAGACAAAAGCGCCTCAAATTAAATAAACAATGGAAAAACATTTCGGTGTTGAGACAGGCATTGCAGTATTGCATGCTAATATAATAAGTAATGAATAGCAAGGGCTTACCAAAGCAGCCGTGTCGCTTCATCAGCTTCTTCTTCGAGAGGATCTTCATGGCCTGAAAATAACAAGAAAACCATGTGAATATCGCTAATTGAGGCGGAATAATTATGGAATTTCCCGCTCTTACATAGGAATAGCACACGAATCTTATTTTCAGTAACTTTATAAACTAATGGTAGCGCGCGAGTCTCATTTGCAAAACTATATAAACGATTGGTAGCAAACGAATCTCATTCTCAGAAAGGCATTCAATCTAGCTTACTTTAATTACCGAAAATGAATGTGTACGCACTAAATGAGTTTCCTTCTGATGATAGACTGTGTTGAAAGTTTACTTCATTTAACTGTTTGGAACAACGATTTATCTTGTGTGTGTTTTTTTCAACGCCACCTCGTTGAACGCCAAGAGCCACTGCGGCTGTAGAGAAGTTAAGGAGTTTCCGGAGAAAGACCACTAACTCGCTAACACAGGGCCGGTGTTCCATCAGAGTAAAGGAGAAAATGCAAAAGCAGCCCTGGGAGTGGCATGAAGGTCAAATAAAGACTTCCTTCTTGGGGAAGAGCGAGCATGAAGGCCATCACTCTTTTCCACCGCACAGAAAAAGAGTATAGCTCTATTGAGTGTTATTAGGAAAATATGAGTTTTATTAGTATATATCCTACACAAAAAAAAACATTCAGAAGAAACAAACATACGGACGAAACTCGTACAGAAGAAGACTGATACTAAACTTTATTATAATATGCTTATTTCGTCACCACGATTGGATCCTTATGATGTAAGGCTCGTTACTCAATCACAACCGTACCAAAAATGTAAATGCTAAACTACTTACGTAGTGCGTTTCATCTTCTTCGTTGTAAGCTAGTTTAACGATGCCGTAAGAACCCTGCACACAGAAGAATAAATCTTAAACTTTGTATAAGATTGTAAAAAGTTCTTAATCATGCATAAGATTCAGGCACAATATATAATTTAGCAACCGTTCTATTTTCTGATTTAATCCAAAATACATGTAATTATTTGAGATTCGCTGGATTAGTAATTTTTATTATCTAATCATAAAACATGAAAAAGAGATAAAACTAATGTTAGTTTGAACAAATCAAAACTAACGACGGCAAATTGGAGCACTAACCTGCCCTATGGCTTGTTTAAGTTTGTATTGGTTGAGCTGAGTGTATTCGCCGTTAGTCTCAATTGAGACGCGCCGACTTTCTTTGAGTGGCCGTCTTCTGAGCCTGGGGGAGGAGGAGGGAGAACCGTATGGGGAGAAGGGCACGTTCGGATAAATTGGTTTATCTCCTGTCAGGTTCCCATTCTTGCTGGTGATGAGCTTAGCGATGTGGGTTCCTCGCCTCTCCGACACCGACGTCTCGATGCTGTGCGAACGTTTGCCATCCTCAACACTGCGAGGGTGAGGAAGTCGAGAACCTAAAACACTGCCTTGCTCTACGTTAGGAGCCTGCAGCTGGTTGTTACACGTGGTCATCGAAGTTTGGGCAGCGACGACAGCTTGATCTTCTTCGATGGATGTCAAAGGCTCGAAGATGCGATCAATCTCTACGTCGCCTTGCGTGTCGCTGTGAATAAGATCAGTAGAAATTCCTGCAATTGACGACCTTGTCACAGATTTGCTTGAATTCTTGGTTTCGTTGTTGATATCTGTTATAGTTGGACGAGTAACGTTATTGGCATCGGACGCACTTATGAGAACCTCGTCCGTCTCTTGCTTCAAGTTGATAACTTTCTCTAAGTGGTTAGATTTACGGCTAATCCTATTTCCACGCGCATCACATGGTTCTAGACTAGTATCACTCGGTGCATCACTTTTATCCCCTCCTTCATTATCTTCAACATCAATTAAAATTAAATTTTCCAATTTGTTAGAGAGCTCAGCTTGTCCAGTGCCTCGTTCATCGCCTCTCCTGTCCCCATCCTGGAGAGTCAAGTCTGCAAGCCATCGGTTGTACTGTTTTTGGACAGGGATGTCCATATCCAGCTTCACTTGAGGGGACGTTCGTGCAGGAGATGGTGGGGATGCTGCTGTCGAGGTTGTTGTAGACACAAGGACATTGCTTGCCCCTGCATGGTTATCCTGGGGCCAGGCCATGATAGATTGGGGTAGTGGAAGGACACCCTGAGGACCGATGGCTCCAGCCAAGGCGCTGGTTTCATCGCAAAGCTTCGATAATCCCCCAGAGTTTTCCGAACACTGCGATGAATTCGAGCCTCGACGACTACTGCTTTGATTCTCTTCAGTCTCCTCAAAACAACTTTGTCTGGAAAAAATAAAACCAAGATTTAAACCAAAAAGTTATGTAAAAACCCAATAAAATAAAGGAAATGATTTGTACTTCAAATAATTCTAATGAAATTTAAAAAGTCAATAGCTATTCAACGCAATATTTATAATAATAAAACAGTCATGTTCGCCTTGCACATCCGACAATACAGAAAGGTTCATTCAGCACACCGATGAGCTTTAAAGAGGCACCATCAGCCGCCGTGCTCTCCCTGCTCTTCGCAAAAACAGCCTACTTGATGAGGCAGGAGGGACTTAACAAAATGTTGCCCAGAGCTCAACAACTCATGAGAATTACTTGCGTTGACCTTGAAACAAATGTTCGAAATTAAATGAGGAATTCGCCAGTATGTGCCTCTGAAAGTAAGTAACTTATGTTTACCGTTGATTGGTCTAGCTTATTATTTTTTTTAAGTTAGTCTCATAGTTGTAGAGCTCTTTTGCTAACAGGTTGTTATAGTGCCTCCCTGAGACAATAGCTTGCTCAACTTCTAACCGCAATACCGGCGACATCTTAATTGCACCGCTGAATAACTGTATTAATGGAAATAAATAGTTTCTATATGACTTTGTTGTCTGTAGCGGAGCAACTAAGGGAGTTTCAAGTTGCTTCAGTGAAGCCTTTCTTTGTTAACTTTGTTTGTATCAGCCATGAAGAAAAAAAGCTATCAAAGTTCGATTGATGTGACATGTTTCACCAATTTTATCGACCAAGATCATTGCAAAGATCATGCAATATAAATCAGACTTCGAATGTTAACAACATTGCCATGATGATGAAAGTCATCATTGAGTTAATCATTTATTCATTTGAATGCTGCAACGTTGGACAATCTGCGTTACCGATAGACCACGTCTAGGATCTAAATACCACTGCAGGAGTTTCATCGCTGCAGCACATTTGTAAACACCATTGCCATCTTGCTGAACCAATAAGTGCCCTCATCCCCTGCGTCCTATGCATGCCAATGACACTTTAGCTATTGAAGACTCAAAAAAGTAGAGAAAAGGGTACGCGAGCGCCGAACAGAAAGCTTAGGTTAACGTCTAAGACACCAGTCAAACTTGTGAGTAAATTAAGGTAGAAAAGATTGTTCGGATAAAGTAGTAATATTAATGTATAGCGCGTATTGAGCTTTAATCACGATGTCAGTTTCAGCGAGCCACGAAACTGTATAAATTGCCTTAGCTGCACTGCGTTGGTCACGTGTAAAGAGTTACTTAAGTGCCAGGTTCAACAATTCATGAATTTCGCAAGCAGCCTGATTGCAGCACCACTATGTTCAACATGCAGTCTATATGCTGGTGTAAAGCAACATGACCTGGCAAGCGTTCACCTAAACAACATGCGGGTGTAAGGCAGAAATAGAGCTCGTTGGCGTTCGTCATGTTGTGTTTAAAACGTCGCTTCTATACATAAATTACAATCGCATCTTCAGTCATAAACTCATTTAAAGGTATGTTTGTTAGATGCTAAATTTGTGTGAAAGAATAAAATTACATTCAGAGAGTATAGAGTAATTTACTGCCTAATTTACCTAACATTTATCATGGGAATAATAAGCGAGAAGAATTTAACGTTGAAAGTGAGTGAATAGTTAGTTTAAATTTAATAACCAAGATACAAACTTGTTTGGATTTGCTAGTTCAGACTGCGGGCGCAACAGCAAGGAAGAAATGAGAGACGATATACATGCTAGAATAACAATGATCAATCAGACAAAAGGACGTTCATTAGAAAATAACATCCTTCTATTCCTAGAAACACAATAGTAGCAAGGTAAACGATATAAAATAAATCATCATAAATGGAATAACTACATGATTATTTCTGCACCAATACAGTAGTATAAATCTAAATAAAAATCCATATAAGTTTCTTCTAAAATCAATAGAAGAAACGGTTGCAAATACAATTACAATGATTGTATTCATAGTGTAATAAACTTGGATAAAAACCTCGATCTGATCGCATGTTTTGAAATCAGCGTTATTTTCTGCGTACGTTATTGTCGATGTCATACAAGTAAATTATGTAACGAGAATTAGTTTATTTTTCTCATAAATTTTCGCAAAAGAAAAGCTGTCGAAGTTATTTGGCTCGAGTTCCTGCATAATTTATTTTTCTACACATTGCTTTCGCTTCCAACAGAAGCGTTAATAAATACGTTCATATGTCTCACACATTCCTAAAGTCTTTTGAGGTAAGACAAGAAGTGCAGCACTACCATGCAGTATCTTATTGATATCTTTGAATGTAATCTTATTTTTGTCTGTAATCTAAGAGAGATAAACACATGATTCTCCGGTGGAGTCAGAACAGATACTGTAACAGCAAAACTATAGACAATACGGCATGACCTATAGACTTGTGGATGATTTACAAATACAGCATAATGCGAGATTATAATCTGATTCGTCGATTGCAAGGTCCGTTCAAATTCCTGCCTCGTCTTCAAATCATTGATGAAGCATACAAATTAAAGAATCTTCGAGGCAAAAGCAACGGGACTCGATATGTTAAAGAAGCACCGTACGTGTAACGAGGAAGACAACTCAAACGTTTGAATATCGTTCATATTGGAAGCACACATGAATGGGTGATTACTCCCTGGAATTAACGAGCTTCACGTTATGTTAACAGTAACAATAGCTTAAGAAATGCAATGGAAGGCGCGCTTCCTCCACTACTTCGTCGCTAATTTAATTAATGCAACGCAACAACAATAGGAAGGTTGGAGAATAACATTCGTTTGAGAGAATATCGTTGCTGCTGTAGCGTGACTGTTACCCCCGTATACTTCTGCACATTGATTAATGTTCCATATGCTGCAGTGTGACAGGTATTCTATATACTACAGAGTGACCTATGTTACATCCTTACATCACCGATGCTCTATATACCGACTGAATTTCTTTCTACTGCAGTGTGACCGATGAAGAGCTTTTTGCAGAGATGCACTTTCTTCCTCTAAAGCGTAGTGTAAATGTTCCGAAATTTGCTGATTGACATCTGTTCAATCAATTCCATAGTGACAGGTGTTTAAACTTTTGGAAAGGAGCAGCTACAGATAGAGGTTTTATAGAGGTTACATTTATACGGTAATATGGTAGACGCTTCATCTCAAGCCGTGTAAAACAAGTTCCAATGCCACGTGAAATAGAATGGATGATATGATTCTACAGTCAGATGTGGGCAGTAGCGCGCTACATGTAGCGGCCGCTACACGACAGATTATCTAATTCCTACATGACAGATTATCATGAGTAGTTTATGACCATCACAGGCGAAATGGTTGACAAGATCTCGCTGACAAAAGACTCGCAGCAGCGGAGGCGAGGCTCGCACATCCTGTCCTTGAGGCTCCAACCTAACTAAACACAAGCAGCGTATGCAAGTAGAAGCTTCCAATGATTGAGAAGAAATCGGCAATAGAGAGACATGGAAGTAATTTAAAATGTACAGTATTACTTCGTTGCAGCGCAAGTAATAAATTCTAAAATGAATTATATAAATAATAAAATCATGTTAATGATTGTTTCTATTTCGTGCTGTTAATCCTTTTGAGAACATTTTACAATTGAGCAACCCACTCTATCAAAATTACAGTACTGGCATGGCGGCGGCATGCAGCCTCGAATTTGAACATCAATAGCAGCTGTATTTATGATTGGTGCATGATGTATAATGTATAAATTCAGTAGCCGCACGTTGAATAGAGTTATCACTTATCAGACTACACAGCACAGTAAACTTTAAAACTTATATATTCAAGACAGCGCTATCAGATTACCAATCGAGCATCTATTTTAAGCGATTGATCATGAAACAACTGTTGAAAGTCTAATTGAATAAATGATAGAATAAATAAAAAAACAGCATGCTCCATCAATATATATGAGGCACTAGAGCTCATGTAATTAATAATTTGTTGGTATGTTAACGTTTTACAGGACTAATATATACCGCTGAAAGTGAAATCGTGCAATATGAATATCTAGATTCAAATTAGGTTATGAGGGTATTTTTTTTGCCTAGTTTACCAACCGTATTAGTAAGTTTGCACTTCTATAAACAGAATAATAGTAAGAGGTAGTGAATTATATTTATTATCATACCAATGAAGGGTTCGACTTTCGAGTAATGCGAGCTCCAAAATCAGTAGTTACTGCAGCACACGGACACAATTCGTCACTTGACAAAGGAGGATGGATAACGAATGCTGTGAAAGTACCGTGGACTTATTGCAATAATGCTGCCTCCTCCTCTGTAACAAAGATCACGTAACAATTTTCCCTAAGATAATGGGAATTAGCCACTATAATAGAATCGGGGAAATTTTTATTTAAAGACAACCACGTCGATAAACTCGGCGACGAGCTCCGAACAGCAACCCTACCTCACTAACAGCGGAAGATGCACTGATCAATGGAAAGCGAAAGACACGCGGCGTAGTGTGTGGCAGCCCAGACACTACGATGTAAATACGGTACCATACCGGCACAGTTGTGCCACCTAATTGTGCTGCTCTACTCACACGGTACCATACCGGCACAGTAACACAACTCATGATCCCTGTATCGGGCCGCGCTATACTCTGCACCAATAAATGTTTTCTAATTCGCATGCCGAAGTCAACAATCCCACAAACAGCGGATGAGACGATGTACTCAACTATTCACTTGATGATCTCAGTTCAACTACAATTATGAAATATATCTCTCTTATCGCACTACCTACCAAGGTAGTGTTATTTTCTTAAATAAAGATTCAAAATATAAATATAAAATCAATAAAATGCAGATATGAAATGCTGAGACGTAAGTAACGTAGTATGCTACGACAGCAAATCAAATGTGAGAGGAGTATTTTATATAAATAAACACTGTATTAATTAGAATTTTCATATTATAATTCATACAAATTTTATAACTGTAACTTGAATATGCAATTTACATCTACCAGACCAAGACATATCTTTTACATTCGAAATAATTAAGTTCTCCTAACACTAGATTCCTACTGCTAGTTATTACTAAGAAAGCTATTACAAAATTACCCAAGTACCAAGAATTGGAATCTAATAAAAAATTAAATGCTCTAAGTTTCCTTGATACCCATTATTCAGTATACAAAGATGCCTTCTTTTTGAAGGAACTGAAGACATTCTATTATGTTTATTCATTTTTGTCGATTGAGACATTGAGACATCAATGGAAATAATTATCCTTATCAATATAAAATGGATGTTAGTGATTCATTCGAGATAATATTGAGTGAACTGTAAAAGATAGTCGATACATGACATACGATTGTAACTGAAGCTCAACATATGTACTACTGCACCATAATAACTGCCTCTACGTAATTCTTGACTATTATCAATAATTATTCCCATTATCAATAATTATTTACCATTATCAATAATTATAGACCATTATCGATAATAATTGACCATTGTCAATGCATGTACTACTGCACCATAATAACTGCCCCTAATTCTTGACTATTATCAATAATTATTGACCAATATCAATAATTATTGACTACGGTAACTAATCAAACCAAGCATTTGAAAACCCTCTCCGTAAACTGACCTCCTGAGGTGGCTTCGTGACAGACGTGGTCTGGATGTTCGCTCCGTCGCTGCCATCCTGCGCGGCGGACAGAAAAGACCAAGTGTAAACTTGACTCGGTCTGCCACCTCCTGCGGGGACGGCCGGACAGACACAGCTCACGAATTTTGAGTGTTCGTGATTCGTGCCGAGAAGTTCCAGCTATACAGTCTATTTGCATAAAAATATTGCTCCCGCGACACAGAATATGTTTTGAATAATAATATCGATCAAGTTAATTAAATTGCAAATTAAAGTGATTACCAGGCGAATAAATAAGTATTTTGTCGCAGAAAAGAAATGAAAGATCCTTTGCCATTAGTGCTTCTATATATATCTTCTTATATCTGCAACAAAATCACAGAAACATAACACAAACATGAAACAGAGATTAGTCTAACATGAAATTGAGCACTACATCAAACATAGGAAGTGTTTTTGAAGCTCCACTAACGAACAACAAACTGAAAAGAGTCGGCCAATCGAGTCATTGGATGAAATTGGACGTGACCTTCGCGGCATAGCTTGGCTTCTGATACACTTCATCAGGAAATGTAAGCAATTTCCATTCAAGGGCGTACGAATTTTATCTTAAATTGTTTGCACAAATTGAAGTGTACAGATTTTAACAATCCCAGATGGGGATTTTCCTCAACATGCGCAGCCCGTTGTTTTGTACAGCGCAGGTCATAAGATAAAAATGTCTGGCTTTTCCGGTACGCAAAATCCAGTGGACCAGACATAAATAAAATGCACCCGGTGATGAGAAGACTTGTTCAGAAGAAGTAATAAATTCCTGTTACGTTATTCAAGAATGCAAGCGGATATTTGAGAAGCACTCAGCAACCCGTCCTTAATTAGCTCCACACAAGGTCATAATGAATAACAGAGTTATGATCCACAGCTTCAAAATTAACGACAACATTAAAACATGTCATCTACATGTGAATATGTTATGCAGGAGCACCTAAGCAAGACGTAAATGATGCAGTAAACCTCCAAGTTGTTGAGTACATTCGATTTCTTAAATTACAAGACATCGAATATAGAAATTAAACGTACGCGTTATCTGCGTAACTGCGGAGGCGAGATGATCTTCTGTTTTCTCCTCAAAGAGAAAAATGGCCTTCACGCGAGCTAATAACTAGCACCACTTCCGGTGATATTTCATGAAAGGTAATGACTTAAAAATGATATCAATTGGAACTTGGAAGCCATTGGGGCATTCCGCACTAAGTTTAAAATGGAAGTTAAAATTTATTAAAAATAACATGATATGGAAAGAGAAACTTTTCTCTATCTCAACCTTGTTGAATAATTTGCACATGATGAACCCTCGATGGCCATGAATTTATTTGCATGGAGTTGCAACTATTAAATGCTAAAAGAGAATCATAAATTATCTTAAAGAAAACGATAGTTTCAATTAAAGAAAGAAAATGGCACTTCTACTTGCAGCCTCGACCTCCTCACGCCGACGCGTTTCTATTGACACTGGCATGAAGCAACACGCGACCTCCGCCATGTGGTTGGTCACCACAAATACACCATCACGAACATCACCACGTCAAGAGACATGGCACTCGCTGCATGTTACTCGAAATCCTCATGGTCTCAAGTGAACTTCATTGTCATCACATTTGTAATTATTATTTTCTACAATCTATTAAACGGCTTTTTTTTCGAAAACTCAGCTATGAAAAAAGTAAGAAGAACTCTATTCAATTTTTCCAACGTATCTATTTCCAGCATCTTAGAATCGATCTTTTTACTTTTAATTAATTATGCAACTTTTACCCTGTAGTAATGAGCGATAAATTCGTTATTTTCACCCAGCATCTTGGATTTTTAATTTCGTTATTTTCACCCAGCATCTTGGATTTTCTTGGATTCTCATTTGAAAGATTCTAATTTTATAATGATAGTTATTCTGTAGCGAAGAAGAAGCTATAAGCTAACATACTTATTAAAAGTTCGGATGATGAATCACACCATTCTGACCGTGCATATATTATTTTCATTTATTGTGGAATAACCAAGTGCGGAAAAAGCCAATCCGGTGTAGCTGCCTAAATATGACATAGACCCGACTTAAGTGGCCGCAACTGGACGCGTTTGCCCAGGATTACATTACCGTGCACATTTCGACTTTAATTCATCACCTCAATATTCTTACATTTGGTTAATGTAAAAAACGTAAAAATATCTGGTTGTGTATCGTTATCCACTGCAAGCCTCTACTGTGAGCGAGAGGTTAAAAAATGAGAGATGCTTCGTGTATTAACAAACGAAAATATCTTTTTAAAATTATATTATTGATTATGCACGGGTTTTTAACATATTACTGTTATCTTGAAACTTGAAAGTAATTATAAGTTCCAAGAGTAGGTTGGTTCCAGCTCGTGGAAAGATGAGTGTGCGTTTCTCCGCTACAGTTTCCTGGATGTTTTCGGTGTGTATAGCAGCCGTTCCTGACTATCGAAATATAGTCTGGAACTTTCTGTGTAATGGTCTAAATTAATGAAGTGCTACAAAATAAATTTATCAATACGATAAATGGGAGTCGTGGTTTCCTCGTTTAAGGCAACTGAGTTTGATTTGCAAGCTAAACTAAGATTGTCTAGGAAATTAGCAACTTTTAAAATATTTGCTACCTATTTCTTTCAGCTTTATTCCTACTTATTCAAATGAACATGACCATGGTCGATTATTTTCCTACCTCTTCTATTTCTTGTCCTATCTGCTCATGAACGTAATGCACTTGTTCAAGAGTACTACCTGTTCTAAAGTATTTCCATTAGTTCAAGCATCTACATTTTCGAGTACGGTATATATACTCTCACTCTCACTTGTCCGAGTGTACTCCTACCTCTCCCTCCACGTTTACCCATGCTGGGTAAAGTGATCCGGAGAGGCAATGATCTTCTGTGACACGATCTTAGATCTTCTGTGAACAAGTCGCGAAAAGCAAGAATCGGCGTCAGGCCACATCAGGCCTCTACTCTTCAGAGCCGACATCACTATGTTATGTTATGTATCTGTCCAAGTGCTCATGTAGGCTCCTATACCTGTTCAGGAATACTTGAATCTATTCAAGTAACCGCGTATGTGTTTAGTTATATTGTACTCGTTCAAGTTTATTGGTGTCTGTTCATGTGAAATCTTACCTGTTCAAATATATTCGCACCTGTTAAATTATGTAGGGATTCGAGAAAATTACTATAAAAAAACAGTATTTTCATATATTTTTATGCCAATTAATTATGTACGTCACCTGTCAAACATGGCTGATGGCCTACGTCAAACCGAGTAAAAAGTAAATGTTATCAGCATTGTAAGCCGGTTAATCATGGCCAGTCTTAATATCTATAATATCTGATAATTTTGTGATAGTTTTAAATTCTGGTTATAACAAAATATTATTATTATTCTGCAATTCACATAATTTGAGACTTACGCAAAATTTCACTCGGAACGTGTGGCACCATCGCCATAGCTTGGGACCCATAATAGGGCTATTTGAGTTGAGACGCATTTCTAAACGGAAGTCAGATGCAGTCTTTCGTGTTTTGGTGAAATAGTATAACCACTGGGTCTCGTTCGCGCACTATATTTTGCAGGATTCTCAGAACCTATTGTATCCCATAACCTCCTTATACTTGCGCTCATATTACCTGATCGATTCTTGCCATCATTTGACGCTTCCTAACTGAGTCAACCTATAACCACTTAGCAGAATAAACTACCCTGAATATCTCTTCAACCCTTTATTATCCTACTTATCTGGGTTTCAGCAAAACCTCCAATTCCTACCTACGTTAGCCACGATTCCTCCAAACATCCAAAAGTATACTCGTGCAGCGTGCCTACTCAAGTATCCTCGTACCTGTTCATGTGAAATTTTTACCTGTTCAGGTATATTCGCACGTGTGCCTATTACTCGTGCCTATTCAAGTATCCTTCTACTTTTTCACGTACACCCGTAGCTATTCGAGTATGTTTGTATCTCTAGGTGCTACAGCAGGTCACTAGGTGCTACAGCAGGTCACTAGGTGCTACAGCAGGTCACTAGGTGCTACAGCAGGTCACTAGGTGCTACAGCAGGTCACTAGGTGCTACAGGAGGTCACTAGGTGCTACAGGAGGTCACTAGGTGCTACAGGGGGTCACTAGGTGCTACATGGGTCACCAGGTGCTACAGCAGGTCACTAGGTGCTACTGAGGATCACTAGGTGCTACAGGAGTCACTATGTGCTACAGGGGGTCACTAGGTGCTACAGGGGGTCACTAGGTGCTACAAGAGGTCACTAGGTGCTACAGGGGGTCACTAGGTGCTACAGCAGGTCACTAGGTGCTACAGGTGGTCACTAGGTGCTATAGGGGGTCACTAGGTGCTACAGGGGTCACTAGGTGCTACAGTTCGAAGATACTTGCATTCAAATTTTATGTTTGCCTCGCACCAAAATAGCTAGCATTTGAGAAAAAATGTCTCATTCTTCTTATTTGAGCAATTCCCTTACCACGATATATGTACGATATATATATACTATATATATAGTACTATCTGCCAACTATATATATATATATAGTAAGTTTGATTGAAGACCAGAGCATGCTTCTTATTAATAATCTTCTTCGAGACGAAGAGCACTTGATCGAACTGCGAAGAGCTTTGGAACATTGCACTGAGTGGGCCTTGGCACAAACTTGATTCTCGGCAATTAATGTGAATGCTTCATAGGTCAAACTTCCAAGATATAACATGCATGTTATACCTGATTAAACCTGGCTGCTTAGCTTTGATGTGATTTTTTACGAGGACTGTGAATTCTTTAGGTGAGAATTCACAATCTCCATTAATTTTTCATTAGAAACGTCATAAAATTTGAATACAACAATAAAAATAAATACTCTACAATTCGTTTTATGTGGGAATCCCTTTTTCCTAACAGTTTCTTACTGCTTATTTCCATATGATTCATCTAGAAATCATAAGGAGCTAGACATGGTTCGACATACAGTTCTGACGAATACAGAGACACACAATTTCTTTAAATAGTTCTTAAGACTATTTTGTTAGGTAATGACATTTGCATGGTGAGTCAGCAGTTTGGATGTCTCATCACCGGGTGTGACTTTTCTCCTTCATCTTTAAATCCTTCGCAGAAATTAATCGCAGATTATGTTTCCTCTTTGAATTGATGGAACTCCTAATGGTGCTCAGTAAAATACCGAAATGCAGGAAATTCATGCGAAAGTATGCACTTAGTGACGCATTCAGATCTCTGCACCGCTTCTGAGCAATAATATTTTTTTCCTTCTCATGTTTTCCTTCTTTCGTCTTGTTGATCTACTTTTGGCGTCCTTAGCAATGCGGTAAAACAACTGTCATGACAATCATCACTTACACGAGTATTAAATGTGGACCACAACAGCACAAGTGAAGTATATGACGGAAACCAGCCAAATGTCGTTGTAGTTTCATCTGTATTTGTGTTCTGTGTGCTTGCATTGGAGTTGAATACTGCGTACTTTGTGTAGTAGCGCTACTCGGAATTATCAGCATTATGATACATATATATTAATAAGCTGTTCAAATCTTATATTAATTTATATAAATCAGAGGTAAATCCTGTAATTCATTTTGCATAACATTATACTTTCCATTACTTGTATGAATTTATACGAGAGATGGCATTACATTTATACATTGTTATCGCTTCACACGTACCGCAGAGGTACGACGATCATTTTGTGCCGTATTCTTTTCTGACCAGCTCGTCGAGCAAGCGCTCGATTTTACTCCAGAAAGTTCTGGTTCTCTGAACATTTTCAACACTAGCAACCGGCTAGGTGAACCGTCCTCATTATAGGAAGAACGTACCGAACCATGACGAACCAGTTTCCGGTGTGGCAGCTCTGTGCGAGCAGTGACGTAATGCACAGCGCACACTGTTGTTATGCTCAACGATCTCGATATAGAACCTCAGTCATGTAAGATGGGGTAGAAAACATAACAAACTTCTTCAGTTAGGTCAGCAATTCCAATCTTGACGTTAATTAAATAAGTACTCATTTGAGAAATTTATATTTTTTGGGTAAATGTTAAGAGATGAAACGGTAGAACATATTATTTATTTCACGTTAGTCACACTGATCATTGTTGAAAATGAAAATGAAAAAAGTAAAAGCATATTGTGCTAAGTTAACCCGGATAGTGGCGGTAAATTATTTTTAGTTAGTATTAGTCACACTCCAGCAAATTAAATAGCAAGATTCTTCAATTTCCACGAGATAACTTAATGTGTCGGCCACGCACCATTAATTATTTATTATTGTCGGCCACGCACCCTTAACTATTTATTATTGTCGGCCACGCACCCTTAATTATTTATTATTGTCGGCCACGAACCCTTAATTATTTATTTAGAGAAACAGGCTGTAGCATTTAATTTCTCGTTGAAAGCCCAGCTTCATTTCGTCCTCTGCAAGGACTCTAGAACTGTGAACCGCTACCAAGCAAGGGCATCAAGATTTGCGATGCGGAGGTGCAAGGCTGGTAAATCGGACCGTTATGATGATGGTAACAAAAAGTTCTTCGCGTTCAGCCAAGAACTTTTGCACTGAATGATCTGAAATTTACGACGACGTTTGATTATATCTTAAAAAATGAACTCGTAAGCAGCAGTTCCCCAGTTTGAAAACATTTTAAATATCTCCAAGATGGAATATTTAGAGGTTAGAACGATTATATTGTAAGTCTCGACCTCCCAAAAGTTCTAGGGAAAATTGTTATAATGATGAACATTGAACCTGAGCCTCGTTATGAAATAAATTTTATTGTTAACATTTTCTGTTGGCATTTTCATTTTATTGTTAACAAGCGTGTACCATATAAATCTTCCACGCAACGTGGTGGGTTCTGAAGTTGAAGGTGGGGGCAGTCGGGGGGTGTCAGCCACTGCTTAAAAGCCCTTGACTTGTCTTCTACTGAGCATTGCGAAGTCTGCTGTAGTGAGAAGTGTGTCGTGCAGCAGAGCTCCAAATATCTCTTTGTGTCTTAGCAGCTCGCTCGACTGCATAGGGCAGACAACGTGCTGGTTGACTGTCACTGGAATTTCTTGAATTTGGAACTGAGGTAGACAATTTATTGAAGGGTTTTCGAAGATACGTTTACAGTCACAGCAATGTCATACTTCAAGATAATCGTCCTAATGCTAGTAAGTGGCATTGGAGCACAACATTTTGGGCGTAGCATTCATCCTCAATTCAGAGGTCCAGTTTTTTTCCCAGCTCCAAACAACATTGCCCGGATTCCGCGCACGCCATCCCCGCTACCAAACATATTCTTCCAGCATCGTGGCCATCCTCATGCCTCTGCCATCGCCTTTGGAGTCTCAGATGGGAGAGGGTCGCCCATTTCATTCTCCAATAAAGATCAGCTCGTAGGTAGCAATCAGAGGGTGCCTATTGTATTTGGCGTGAACGAAGGCAGGCCTCTACCGTCTCTATCGACTGTTATGAACAGAATTCCCGCCAACAACGGCGGGACAATTGGAGCAGGAATAAATACGTTCCTTCCTATTATCCCTCCTACAGATACAATTGCTACCAACCCTAGCTCCCCTGCACAAACAACGAGTGTCAATGCTACCAGTGATAAATGTTCTCTGAAGTTTTTGCTCACCATGTTCGAGGGAAGTTGTTCACGCCTTTTGACAAGAAGTTCTTGTGAGAGCGACCAGTGGCTTTTGTTATCCAGCGATGGCGTTGCCCACTGTGCCGAACGTCGCTGTCCTTGGGAGCAACTTGAATTCCAGGGAGACTGTGTGGACCCCGCCACTCCCGATCTGTGTCCGCGAGGCCAAATTATTTACGTCGACATTAACGGACAAGCGGAGTGCGACTGCGAAGCAAATCACTACTTTGATGCAGATTCTGGACAGTGTTTTATGTTGCATGAACAAGGGCCGTGCGAAAGCTCACATTATCTTGAGAAAGGTTTGGACGGGAAAATGGAATGCGTGCCTAATCCATGTGAAAATGATGAACTAGTTTCGTTCGAAGGCACGTGTTATAAGAAAAATTACAAAGGGTATTGCAGTCCAACATTAATTGAGATTCTTGCAGAGAGTAATAGTGCCGACTGTTTGTTCACACCACCAAGAAGCGTCTTTGACGTGCTAGCTCTCAGTGCCTGTCCTGAAGGCAGCCAACGTTCGTTCCTTGGCAAGTGCAGAGAAGTGCTGAGGATCCCAACGCAGACAACTTCGCCTTCATTCCGAGGAGTGTGCCTTCCCGGCTTCGTTTCCGATCAAACTGGCACGTGCCGCAGAGTTGTTTCAATTTTTAGTGGATAAAATTGCGTTTATTCAACCAATATTTAACAAATTTATCGATATGCTATATGTTATATTTGCTCAAGTGTTTTCTAATGATCAGCATGGGACTCAATCACATGCGGTAGCTCTAATCATGGTTGAACTTGAGTTAACCGTGTTTCTAGTATCATAGATGCTAGTCTATCCTTTATATGTGATTCATTAGAGCCGTTGACTTTGACTTCATTAAAAAAAATTAAAAAAACATTACAGAAAACCATTATAGACAATTTTGAAACGTGGCAATGTAATAAAAACTGATGTGATTTATTCGTATTTCAATGATCTAAAAATAAATGAGCTTCATTCCATGCATAGTTCCAGAACAAAGCCCATGTTCAATTGGACATTTTTCAACATATCTAACTGATGAGAAGTTCAACTCGGGAAATGATTCCTCTGCCAGCAACGTATAGAATGTTTTCGCATACCTTGCAGCACAACATCCTGTTCTCCGAGGTGCTCATTACTGCTTAGTTTTTCTCTAGCTCATTTGGTACTTTGTAACAATTTTGTTGAATCAACAAATCCATTTTGCAAATAAAAAAATAATCAAATTATTCTTAATGTAGTTGTACCTGATTATTTATTTACACTTACTGTTTAGAATTTTCAAACCGGGTATACATGTAAGAATGAAGAGCATGACAGAGGTTTTCTGGTAGAAGGTGAAACACTTTTTTAGCTCAGGTTGAGTCCTGGGGCCATACTTTCAGAAAAAGTTAAGAGATCGTAAGTTCATCAGCCAATCATTGACGGCCTTTCAAGCAAAATCCACCAATCATAGACAGGAAAATAGAGCGTAAGTACTTACGTTAACTTAACGAGTTTTGAGAGTATGGCCCCAGAACAATAACAATTGCGATGAATCTACAACCTGAAGACACTCAAGCTCCACTCGTGTATCCAGGTCTTCTAGTGTGTAGGCTTCTACGGCTCTACGCGTTTTTACTAATGGAACTTATCTACTGGGAATTTTATTTGCTCGTTACAGCAAAAATATTGATCATTGTCTAAAAATTCAAATTATTGTTAGTTATAGCAAGATAATTGCGTTGCAATATGACTCGTTGTGTATTATAGCAAGATTATTGTCGTTTAATTCAACTCACTGTGTAGTTTAGATTAGATTATCGTTGTGTAATCCATATCATTGTGATTTGTAGCAAGATTATTACCTCGTAGTTCATATCATTGTATACTACCATATTAAATTGTGTTCTAGACCCATGTATATATTTCAATGCTTGTCTTACTTGTTGTTCTCCCAAATGCTTTGCCTGAGCCTACACTAATTTTAAAGATGTTTTTTAGCGTTAACAGAAAATTCGTTACTACTTTTACCGTCACCATTTGTCAAGACTCAGTGAGTGTAAGATATGATCTATTAAGATATGGTCAAGACAGTGTCAAGTGTAAGATATGATCCAACGTTTGTCTACGTAATGATGTTCACTGCCGGTAACATCTGTTTTTATTCATTTCTATGTATTGAATTGAACTGCATTTCTCACAATAAAAAATTAGGATTCTACCGTTTTAGCATATTTGCCACGGAACTGCATGAGCTACTGTGTCGGCAGCGAGCCGCGTCTCGGATCAGCTTTATTTGCATTAATGATAAGATATAAGCTTTCTAACCTGTGATATTTAGTTATGTTCTCAATTCTGGGAAAGTCTACTGTATTTTAAGTAAACCTTTAAAAAAACTGTTCTCTAAATTATACCTACAACGTGCACGCATCACTTATCGTTTTACGTGTTAATCTATTCATCGAAGCAACGACGTTACATTTTACGACAATACGCTAGGTTATTAATTTATATTCATTATTAATTGTTTTCGCATCTTGAGTTATCGTGGAAATGAGACTCCCGCTACCCTCACAATAGTGTTCCTTCTCTGAAGCGCACATAAAAAATTGTCTTGCATGTTCATTGTTGGTGTGCAAATGAGCCAATTCTGTATCAGCAGGGCAGACGCTTAATAAAAAAAAACACTTCAAGACATTAAACTCAGCGCCTGATTTTTAATTTTCATGAAAATTTAACGTAGTTTAGGTCGATTATCAACATTAGTGACAAATTACTACTTATGTTAGATCAATCATCCATGCTAGATCTTGATGGAACGCTCCTCGTCCATGAGAAGGAAACGCGTCACTTAAACACAGGAATGCTAAGTTGCGCAACTGCTCGGTGTTAGTCGCACGTTGAACTCTTCGCGGAGGGAAATTACAATACAGCGCATACCTTGTATTTGTAATATCCGATCTTGGTGAAAAGAACGTTCGCGAACTGCAACGACCGTTCTAGGCAAACGCAATAGAAGAAAAGACATCAATAATGAGGAATTTAGGAAGATTTTGGAAACGTGGTTAATACGTGCGTCATTGCCTGCTCGTTTCTACTGAAATGTTTTGAACTATACCTAGAGGCTAGATATTCTAAAGTTTGAATGTTAAATAGCAAGCAATAAACTCGTTTTTAAAAGGAGACAAAATTTCATGAGAATGAAAACTTTTACAACACTCTTGTGTGCGGTTAGGGGGTTAGACATTTGAGGGTTGCAAAGAAAAGTGCATGCCTGATCTACCCGTTCTCATTCATATCTATTTTCACAGGATTTCAGTCTTATATGAACAATGCTATCGATTCAATTAACACGTGAAATCCTATTTTGATTGTTAATTTGATCACAGTGCAAACGTTGAACTTATGACAAACATGGACGAATTAGTAGGCGTACCGCATACGGCTGCTCGGTGCCGCGCATGCGTGATGCAGTGACTAGTCTGATGCAACACACTATAAATAGAATAGAACCCGCTCGCTCCAACAGACCCCAGCAGGTATCTCCAGCAACCTCTTTTGGTGCGCCACAAAATACAGTTCACTAAATCGCGGGAATAGACAACGATTATTCTCAGTACATCAGTGAGCTGCAATAGTATCACGTTGTATACCCCACGTATAATTAATAAAATTAATTATAAATAGAAAATTTTTGCAATCTTTTTCTGGGGAGCATGATTTAGATGTTTTGGAGCTCTGCACCATATTTCGATGGGGCTTGTGGCACATGGAGTGAATGGTGTGAGTCTATTTCAAAATATCGTCAGTACTGAAAGGATCCGGTATAACGACATGCTTTTAGATCATCTGTGATCAAGTCACGAAAAGTACAAGAATCGGCGTTGGCGCTCCAAGTATGAACGCCTTCAAGAACAAACTAGATAAAGCTATGGAATATATGTTCAGACTTGAAATGCCTAGCACCATATCGAACATGGGGCAAGTCAAGCAGCTATTTCAAAATATCGTCAGTTCTGAAAGGATCCGGTATAAGGACATGCTTTTAGATCTTCTGTGATCAAGTCACGAAAAGTACAAGAATCGGCGACTGCAGACCCCATCAGGCCTACTCTTCAGCGCCGGTATCACTATATTATGTTATGTAATGAACATTGAACAATGATAAAGCATCTGCAGTACGAGAGTAAATTGTGCAGGTGAGCCGTATGCTGAGTGCATAGAGACCAAGGTTGGTAAATGTTTTTTTTTTTCGAATAAATTCCGCGATTTAGTTTCATTTAATTGCGTTGGCTTGCAAAAATCTAAAATTTATGATGCTTATTTTTAAAAATGCTTACTAAATTTTAAAAAGTGCGAAAAAAATTAAAATTGAATTTCTTCACCGGAACCTACAAATATACTAGTATATATCGAGCTACAGACCTTTTTCGGCATTTTCCGCTATTTTAGGCCTTTTGACAACCTTGATAGAGACACCTGTGAAGACAGTACTGAAAGCATTCGATGATTTGAATCATTTCGCTTGAATCAAATGCGCTGAAATTATACAAAATCGATACAATTGAAGACTGAACTTCCTAGGCACTAGTGATTGAAAATCAATGGGTTCCACAACTGTTCCTGTTCAGTAATGGATCGTCTTTAGTTACCTCAATTATTATCAGTCATCTCAATCATAATTTTGCCAGCGAATGAGTTACCGCAGATGTGTCAATTTTTCATTGTGTGATCTAACGTCCATAACACACAAGAAACGTCAAATGACACACCTGTTAGTTGAGCATTTAATCCACTTGCTCAATGAGTCTCTATTCGTGTTGTTTCTTTTTAGTAGTCCCCCCGCGGGTTCAGCAAGATTTCCCCAGACTTTCAGTGTGATTAAAAAATATATTCTATAATAAACACTGATTCCTGCTACCTCATTTATCATTTTGGTATCGAGAAAATGTATTGACGAAAACCCACGTCTTGGTTGCTCTCAAATCACATTAGTTAACATTAGACTAGCTGTAGTAGTCCGTAGTCAGTTTATGTTGGTGGTTAATTGCCCATTGCGTTGGAAAACATTGCGTTACATGTGCAACGAACGTTATTTGCTTGAATTGTACGGTATGTATAAAAGCAGTGGGCATGTTAACAAATCAGCGTAGTGGTCTACCCAAAGCTTTAATTAATGAAGATCTTAATCGAGATTTTGAATAACGATGGAGGCAGGTGTGTAAGGGGCCCGTCCACATTTCACATAGACTTTTTAGGCCCGTCCACATAGACTTTTCCTTTAATTCCGTCACTTAGCTCAGTGCTGGGTCTCCTGAATGAAATTGTCGACCCTATTCTCCCACACTGAGCAGGTGAGCTTATAGGCATAATGCAATATTCGTGTCTTTGTATTTCATTGGATAAAACTATATATCTTTAGAAAATTTGCTTGGATAATAAAACGAAGTAAAAACAAATAAATATCATTGTATCGATATTAATTTAGGCTAGTATCTTGAGCAGGTCAGCGCTCTTTATGACTGAACCGTCTCCCACGAGTTCACTTATATTCACTTTATACCTTTATCCGTTATACTTGCTCGTATTACTTCTGCCTTTAGCTTGTAACGTTTATCGTAGTTTATAAATGCGACCTGCCTAATTGACTTGGTTTTTATACCACCCATAAAATGCCTCGTATCCTACGGTACAACTGAAATCTAGAAGCGATTTTAAATCTGCCGTCCGTTGAAAAGATTTGATCAAAAGGCCAGTCTAGTCAAGAAAAAGTACAAGAATAGGCGACAGGCCTATTCTTCAATGCCGAAGATACTATACTAAATAATATTTCAAACCGACGTTCCCTGACAAGGTGTAAATATGCAAATACATACCTGAAAAAATATAACTCGGTACTCACTGCAGTGGCTGACAGAGAGAGCATTTTTTCGTCGACGAAAACGTGAAGTCACGGACGGACAGACAGACGAACGGACATGACGAGCACAATAGCGCCTTTATGCCATAAATGAGAAAATGCGCTAAAAAGACCGTTACTCGAAAGACCGCTTTAATATTCCTTAAATTTCCTAAAAAATTGATCTGAAAGAGTTTGCGTGTTATAAAGTATGACCTAGAGACAGTATTGGTATTCTATAGAATTTATAAATTCGGTGAACATCAAACTTTTTCGGAATACTCATGTCGAGTATAAGCGATGCGAGGTTAGCGTGAGGTGTTGATGACGTCATAGATTCATGACGTCACTGTAAGACCACACGATGACGCAGCCACTTGACGGAAACCAGGGAACTCCCCATCCACTCTCGCGGCACTCCGTTAGACACGTGCGTTCACAGCAACATAGAACGTTCGTATTAGACAAACCGTCAGTTCAATTATGACTCTTGAAATGCTGTGAGTCACGCTTGCAATTTATTGCGAATATAAATTGTTCGTTTCGCGAACCAGTTTCCATAGTTGAAAAAAGGAGAAAAAGTGCGTCCTTTGCGCCCCTGATAAATTACCGATTATTTCACGGTTTTTCAAACATCATCCAAACGTCTGAATTGAAGACTACACATATCAGCACGCAGGGAACTTGACTGCATGCATAACCGCACACGAGTGAAAATAGTTGTTAGAACAAGGTCGTTCAGAGTAAAAAAAAAACTATCCTGGAGACACAGTGAAGTGTTCTCGCTGGCGGGAAATTCCCCACTTTGTCTCCACCCAGTCAGACGACATTCTAGATTTTCAATGCCATGTATGACCGATAAAAAAAAAGTAGAGGCGACTTGCGATTTCGAGTTGCCACTCCTCGCAAAGGTTGTTGTCACATGGTGCAATGATTAAAATAATGTACTCAATGCCATCGTTGTATTATTAGGTGCATAACTCTGCCCGAAATGCGGAGATTTTGCAAGCAAGTTGAATTATTACTATGCAAAAAGCAAGTTGAATTATTACTCCAAGAGTTGACGACGGCTCAACTACTATGGTATAGGGATTAAATAATTCTGACGAATTGGTAGAAAATTAGAATAAATCATAATAACTAGAAGTTATTATGACGAGAGTTATTGTTTCACAGAAACTCAGTACCGCCTCCAACAGGCCAGCATTTCTGGAAATGCTGCTACAAACCGGAATTCGACGGATAAGCTACAAGAATGCAAACACTTTCGAAGATCAGAAAATATACGTAACTGACAAAGCTTTAGAAGATTAAAGGGGACAAGAGACAAACAGCATATGCAATAAAAATTCGAAAAGAGCATCACAAAAATGCGAAAACTGTGCGAAATACGCGCGGTTTTAGTGGGCAATACTTTTAATCATTATCGTATGCAAGTATTCGCATTTAGAATCATATATGCTTCAATATATCATGGCATTGCCACACATTGAAATTAATTTCGTCATTTTTTGCCCTTTATCTAGAAATATTATCACCATCGCAACACTATTCGCATATTATAACATGGTAATAAAATTTAACTTTTGTAGACAACAGTTGAAATAACTATTTTTATTCCATTATATTGGTCTGAATACTTTAATCCTTTATATACTGATATTATCACCATCGCCAACACTATTCGCATATAATAACCTGGTAATGACATTTAACTCTTGTAGACAACAGCTGTAATAAATATTTTCATTCCATTATATTGGTCTGAATACTTTAACACTATGAAGTAAGTGTATTAAGGTTTGAACCAGTATTGGTCACTACCCCGACAGCGGCCAGCATTTCGAGGTACAACAAACAACCCTTACATGCGAGTTGCCACTCGATTTACCGCCCACCAAAACTAGAAACTCCTAACCTGTTTCATGCATTCAGAATCTGTCTTAAGCGGAATTTAAAGTAAAAAAATACATACAATAGGATAATAAAAACAAACAAACTTGAAATTTCAATAATAAACGGCAGACAAATTCAAGACAACCAAGAAACTAAAGTTAGGTTAACATAAAGAATTTTGCTAGATCCCTATTTTCACCGCTTCAAATCAACTTATACTTCAACATGTTATATCCTCGGCCGATATCTGCATTAAAATAAATTGCAGTCTTTTCATCCATAATTAATATTGATTGCACGACTCGAAAAGCAGAACTGCGATTAAAATAAAGCGTTCTATGGAAACTGAAACTGAAAAACGGTAACTGAATTTGAAAGCAGCAGAAACTGGCAAGACTGACAGAATTGATATGAAAGAACACATCTGGCAGTATTCATCATTGAATATTCATCACAAAATGCTTGTCAGAAGGCTTGTTACTTTTACCTTAGAAATAATTTTCCAGCAGTTACTAGGCCATCTTACACATATAAAACTTACTGAATATCAACTCCTCTTCATTGCACGCAAATAAAGGCTATAAACGAGATGAAATGAAGAAGGGAAATAACAAGAAATACGGATGATCTGAATAAAGAGCAGACAAATACAGATGAGCAGAAGGAAAAGCGGAAATGCGGATGAGAAAAATTAAGAGCAAAGAAATGTGAATTAGCAAAATAACAGGCAAAAAATTACAGACAAGCTAAATTAAGAGCAAAAAAATACGGATACTCGAAATAAAGCGTTGGGAAATGAAGACCGGCAAAAATCAGAGAGCAGCCGTCGAACGTACGCAACTGTAGAACGATTAACACTAATGTGTAGTTTGCTTCCGCTGTTTAACACGTAGTTATTGATTGTAGAACTTACGATAATAAAAACTAAAGAACATTTAACTAGCCAAGACGCCTGAGGAGCGCAATGAGTTTGAAACATGGACGTTACACGAGTTTACAATGCACAATAAACTCTGTGCACAGATGGGGACAATGTCCAGACGTCCACCTTTTACAGACGAAGACATTTTCAGATGTAAACAATTTACATAAAAAGATAGTCCAGATGCCCACAGAGCTAGACAACCGTCGCACTCGTCAACGGCCGTCCGCCAGGCTGCCTCAGGCAGCACCAGCCACCGGGGCACTGCTGAACCAAGCCAAGTCCAAACAGCGAGAAGAGCGGAAACCATGCACTCATACGGTCAAGATGTGTCCAGATGTAGCAAATGTCCAGATACACAACAGAAAGTGATGCTTGGTACATGGCTTGCTCAGTTGAGCAATGTATTGGCCTGAAAGAGAAATAATGACGGTTGAAATCAATATCTCGGGTGATGTCGTGTAGAAGAATTTATTTACTTGTCATCTTACCTTTTAAATCAAAATAAAGTGCTGGGGCAATGATGCAGTGAGTCTAAGTAAGTAGAAAAATCTCATGTCTTATTGAAATTTTACCTATAATAGCAATTAAATATTTAATGAACTATATCTCAATAAAAAAAATTGTATTTATTAAATGAATATAAAAATTTAATAATTATTTATAAATATAACTGATTATTAATATCTCAAGAAATAATTTGTATAATTTTTTATTTTTATAAATAATACGCGAAATCATCCTCTTCAATAATGGAAATTTGCAGCAGCTCATTCTTGCAAGTGAAATATTCGCTCCTGCGTAAAGGTTGGCTGATATCAATGACCAATACAAATTATTCCTCAGGCAGCTCATTCCTAATAGATCAGAGGTGGGCAGTAGCGCGCTACATGTAGCGGCAGCTACATTTTTAGTAGCGGTAGCGCCCGCTACATTTAGAGCATGTAGCGGTAGCGGTAGCGCCCGCTACATTTAGAGCATGTAGCGGTAGCGGCCGCTACATTTCAAAGTAGCGCTGCCCAGCTCTGCTCATTATGGAAAAAACGTCCCGTAGCAAAAAAAAACAGGTATAAAAAATAAAAATAGATTAGTACTTGATGCTTTGATACAAAGCCCAGAAATTAGACACTCGTCTCGTAAATTTTGAAGCCATAATGTAATTGCATTAAGCAACGTAAACCAGATGAGGGTTACAGAAGACAGACCATAGCATCATAACTCACAATTACAAAGCGGCGGCATATGGTACGGGGCAAGCCTGGGATGCTCGTGGCGTCCTCTATGCTGCTGAAATCGCCGAAAAATTTCCTGCAGAAAAATCATAAACTATTAAAATTAAAACAAATTCACAAGCTTACCGTTAAAGTAAATTTTATAACCAAACTAATAATTTTTTCTAGATTTCTCTTGGCAGATGCTACATATCTGAAAAAATATATCCAGCGCGTAATAGACGCTGGAAAAAACTTATACCAACAGAATAAAATTACACGTTTTGATCTGTCAATTCGTTTTAGTGCAATGTCCGATTTGGAAATTGAGTGTCACTGGCATCACGTAATGCAAAATTATCTTAAACAACAACCAGAATAGTTTCAAGCAGACGACCAGTTGATCAGAGTGTGTGTAGCCTGATGATCAGGGGCCATACTTTCAAAACTGGCTAAGTGAAAGTAAGTACTTACGCTCTATATTTTCTTGTCTATGATTAGTGGATTTTGCTTGAAATGCCTTCAATGATTGGCTGATGAACTTACGATCTCTTAACTTTTTTTGAAAGTATAGGCCCAGAGTGGGTGTAGTTGATCAGATGGTAGAGAAAGCAGGTTACCTAACTTACCTGTGGTTGGAGATAATGGTGGCATACTTTGGTCCAATGGTGGGCAGTTGCTGTATTCGCTTCTCATCGCCTGAGTTGAGGATCGCCAGCACCTGTCAAGTGGAAATATTTTAGTAAACTACAGAACATGTTCATGCTTAGTTACCAGAATAATGCTCAAGTCAAACATATTCAAATTAATTCCCACTAGTACTAACATACGACAAATAATCGACTTGGTTAACTGGCGCACAAGAATGTAGAGTGTAATCAATAAACGTACCCAAACGTTTTTATGGTAAGCGAGAAGAGTTAGGGACACTCACATGCTGAGCGTGGCTCCTAACTACGCTGGGGCTGACGGTGCACGTAGTCACGTCCAGTGAAGCTTGCTGGATCTTCTTCCTACGGTTGCTTGATGTTGTATTGAGCTTATCTCCACGTCTTGCATTGACTCGGCTATTGCTCAGGCAAGTGGTTGCATTTAATTTGTTCTGAGAAGATTTCTTCGATCGCAAGTTTGACGCTTTATTAACTGCTATTACCGGTTCAAATGTTAAACGAGCAGGTTTACGAATATTCTGCCGGGGCCTCAAACCACTTCGTGTTGTGTTCAAAGTATCATCAAAGGCATTGTGACTGATGTCCGCATGCCACATTGACGAGTTCATATCAACACAAGTTTGATTAAGTGTCTTGGCAGCTGCCACCCGTTTTGCTCTTCGCATAGTGCAAGAAAAATCTGTCTCATCCTGAAGATGCGTTTGTTGGTGTTCATCTGCCTCCTTTTTCCGATTCCTAGTGGTCCAGTTAGTGCAGGTGACATTGAACTTCACGCGAGGCTCCGGCATCAGTGAATTTTCGAATAAACATGTCTCCGTTTGTTGGTAAGATTCATTTCCAAAAAAATCACTATCATTCATGATGTTATGTCTCAAAGTAGCACTCAGCTTACCACCCGTTTTCGACATTGAAGAATCAATTACCGTTTCATTCAAGTCCGTTGAAAACGAATCAGATTGAATCGTATTGGAAACATCTCCCAGAACAGACCTGTTCCAGCTATTCTGCATGGATTTCATAGAGGCACGATGGTCCACGTTTTCTTCCCAAGACTCAAGGTTTTTCTTCCGCGGTCGACCACGCTTCTGTTTTAGACCTACAGATTCATTCATAGTTTTCATATCGTAGCTAACTTGACTAACATCGGTCTGCCGATTTTCATTGCTATCGCTTAGGATAGAATGAAAAGATTCATCGCTATCAAAGATAGAAACGTTGACTGGATCTTCATATTTAGTCTTTTTTTGAGGCGTGAAGGCTCTGCCGTGGTGCTAGATTTTTTATGGTAAGCGAGAAGAGTTAGGGACACTCACATGCTGAGCGTGGCTCCTAACTACGCTGGGGCTGACGGTGCACGTAGTCACGTCCAGTGAAGCTTGCTGGATCTTCTTCCTACGGTTGCTTGATGTTGTATTGAGCTTATCTCCACGTCTTGCATTGACTCGGCTATTGCTCAGGCAAGTGGTTGCATTTAATTTGTTCTGAGAAGATTTCTTCGATCGCAAGTTTGACGCTTTATTAACTGCTATTACCGGTTCAAATGTTAAACGAGCAGGTTTACGAATATTCTGCCGGGGCCTCAAACCACTTCGTGTTGTGTTCAAAGTATCATCAAAGGCATTGTGACTGATGTCCGCATGCCACATTGACGAGTTCATATCAACACAAGTTTGATTAAGTGTCTTGGCAGCTGCCACCCGTTTTGCTCTTCGCATAGTGCAAGAAAAATCTGTCTCATCCTGAAGATGCGTTTGTTGGTGTTCATCTGCCTCCTTTTTCCGATTCCTAGTGGTCCAGTTAGTGCAGGTGACATTGAACTTCACGCGAGGCTCTGGCATCAGTGAATTTTCGAATAAACATGTCTCCGTTTGTTGGTAAGATTCATTTCCAAAAAAATCACTATCATTCATGATGTTATGTCTCAAAGTAGCACTCAGCTTACCACCCGTTTTCGACATTGAAGAATCAATTACCGTTTCATTCAAGTCCGTTGAAAACGAATCAGATTGAATCGTATTGGAAACATCTCCCAGAACAGACCTGTTCCAGCTATTCTGCATGGATTTCATAGAGGCACGATGGTCCACGTTTTCTTCCCAAGACTCAAGGTTTTTCTTCCGCGGTCGACCACGCTTCCGTTTTAGACCTACAGATTCATTCATAGTTTTCATATCGTAGCTAACTTGACTAACATCGGTCTGCCGATTTTCATTGCTATCGCTTAGGATAGAATGAGAAGATTCATCGCTATCAAAGATAGAAACGTTGACTGGATCTTCATATTTAGTCTTTTTTTTGAGGCGTGAAGGCTCTGCCGTGGTGCTAGAGACACGACCGTCATGAATAGAGTCATCACACGGCGTTGCTGCTCCCGCCTCCACTGACGCTGAGTCTGACAAGCCAGCTTCACTAGCCGCACCAGATGAACATCGTCTTCGTGCACATCCCGTCTCTGATGCAGGCTTGTAAGTTTCACTCAACTCTAACTTTTTGTCAAGCATGCCGGGAGTCACAGCGTGAGGTGTATGGGGAAAAAACTCCAGGGCAAGTTTCTTGGCGCGTTTTTTGGCTACAGGAGGCAAGCAAGTTGGCACTAAAAATCCATCGTTAGTTTTCGAGTTGTGAGAATTTTCAGAAGAGTCCATAGAAACTGCAAGGGTATCCAAAGGTTCTGCATCTTGAACTGACAGTCTCGTGCTCCTCTGCAATAAAAAGTTTTGCTTTCATAGTCCAAAAACATATTTCAAACATAAACAAATACACCAGCCAAGCCGCAGAGAAGAACTATCTTAATTTATGTGCATAAGACAAATTGAAGCATATATTAATAGTATTTATTAGTATATTCCAATCGGTTAACTCAATTTATATACTTTCTGTTAATAGCTGATAAAGTTTAGATGAAAACGATTCGGTTCAAAATTAAGACAAAACTGAAGAAAAGTTCTCACTCTAGGGCGCTTTGCCACAGAGTTGTGCACAGCGCGCTCAACCATCTTCTCGACAGCGTCATGGAAGTGTCGCCGCTGGCGCCCGCTCGTGGTAGGGGTGCTGAACATCGCCTCGAGAACAGCAGCACCAAGGTCAGGGCTTCCCTGTTCACTCCCTGTGCAGGCCGTGGCATCCTTGACAGCTCGACTGAGAACAATGAAGGAATACTAATAAGAAGGAATTTTAACATGGTACATGATAAATGGAAATAGAAGAGCGACAGATCCAATTACAATGGTTGTTATTCACAACGCTTAGCAAGCACGAGTGAAACCTAAAATTTATCAACAGAGTTGTCATGTATTTTATATTTATATATATGACTAGGACAAGAAGAGTGAAAACGCAACAAATGTGCGAGCAAGTCAATGGTCTATGAATGAAAAATATTCATACAACACACTCAACAAGACTCTTGAGTACCTGCGTGTGAAGCGGCTTATGAATGAGAAATTGAAAGAGTCTTCCAGCTTGTCCATGATGCGCCGTTCCACTTGATGCACCAAAGGACTAAAGGTAAAACAATGTTAACAAAATTTACAACTAAATGGAAAGGCATTGCAAAACATGATACAAATTAAAAATCAAGTTAGTAAGTGGTAAAAAACATTTAGATTTTTGTTCAACATGTACCGGTAGTGTGATCTGCGTAGCTCTACTACTAATGAGTTGTATTTGCAATACACTAGCGTAAAACAGTGGTTGATAAATAAACAAGATTTTCGTAGGCACAATAAATATAATAATCTCAATGAACGCAGACAAACTGCAGACGCAGAAATATAAGAGTATCTCTCAATTGAATTTGGTATAAAAAATATACAATAACTAATTACTCCACCTGATGAAACTGGACATATCAGCTTGCAGAACACTACGGGGCAGCTTAGCCACTCCTTCTAAAGGCGATCCAAGGAAGTTGTTCTGTAAGGGGGAAGACGCACGCAGCTGGGAAGTGGGAGCATCTGGTGCTTGATCTTCCAGTGGGAGGGAGTGCTCCTCCTCAAACTGAGGCTGCTGCAGTGAAGGGAATATGAGGGGAGAGCGCTTCGCCGTACCGATGCTGTGATCCTCTCTGCAATACAGACACGCATGTGACACAGTCATGACAGAAAGCAACATTGCTGGTATTAGGCCTGGCCTAGAAAATTGTTCACTAGTTGAACCTTACAGCAAAGCAAAATATAAGCTCAAGTATGCATGGTTCTGAAGTTTTCATTTAAGCAAAAGAAAAGCAATCATTCACACAAGTTACATTTTTATTCAAAGATGCGGCATCATAACTGCAATCGATGGAAGTAAGTTATGTGACATGGGGGTTAATTATGCAATATGGGCCAAGGCATGGAATGCGAGGTCATTTATACCTTGAATTGCCTTACCGGAAGCGAGGCTGGAAAGAAGAGTCCAGGGCCTTCAAGGAGCCCCTAGTGGCAGCGGGCGTGTGGCCAGGTGTGCTGACGGTTGTGTTGTGAGCCACCGCCAGAGGGCCAGGCGTGCCCCTGATACTCAGAGATGAATTTCTCAAGGCGCCAGAACGTGTGGCTTTTAAGTCTGAAGTCCTTAAATGGAGGCGCTTGGAGGCAAGGTTGGGTGTAGCTGTAGGGTCTTCATAGCGACGCTTCAGCATCTTGCGCTGAAAACAAGACTTGCTGTTAACTTCAGTCAACAACACAATACAATTTCTTATATATGTGGGAAAAGGATATTTCAACTAAATTTATGTTTTTTTTGTGTGTAAACCCATAGGGAACAATTTCCGCCATCAATTTCGTAAAATTAACATTTTGATGAACATTGCCGGGAAAATGGCGCCTTTCAGACAAAATCAAAAATTGTTCTGGAGTTTTTCGACAAGAATTTTCCAGCGATTTGCAATTCAACAAATAAAATGATGGGTCAACATAACTGGCTACACAGTCGGGATGGCAATAACAGGTTATCAACAGCACGTCAACATTAGCTCAGGACTAACCGCAGAGCTGAGCTGTTGCACAGGCCGCGTGCGCACGTCGCGCATCTGTTCTGCGTAGAGCAGAGTTGTGCGCGTCTGGCTGACATGTGCGAGACGCGCGCACGCTATCACAGCCGCACAAGCGTCGCCGCAGAGGCTCTCGCGCAGCAGTTGAGTTAGAATCGAATCTCTGAGGACAAACAAGATAGCAACTTCAATAACTACGGTAGCAAGATAATCATTTCCGTCCGTAATGATTTCAAAAAATTGCGGGCAGAAAAACGTGACGACCGAGCCACATACTTGAACAGAAGGAACACGTGAAACTTACTGAAACTCATAAATATATTATCAACACAACACTCAATATGACCCCCATTTGGCGTTAACAATCTAAACTTTTAGTGATCGCGTACCACGTTCAGTCACTGCTTGCCACTAGCAAATCAGCCACCGGTATGAGATATTAATATTTTTTTACCATATGCGCAAATAATTAGAGCGATGAATAAGTTTACTATTTTATTTGATGGTGAGTCGCTCAGACAGGAAGAGGTGCGTATGGCAGTAGTTGCAAATTGCGGCCAGATTATCTTGTGCTAAGTCGTAAACATTTTTGTGAAGTGAAAAAAAAATCGAAATTCAAATTGTTAATGAAGCTGAAAACATTTGCTTACCACCTGAAAGGCTCATGCCTAACACTAGAGGTTCACTTTTAAGGGCACAACTGTTCTAGTGTGTAGCCTGTAAAGCTGCCAGCGGCACGAGGCTGGTGCAACGCTCCAGCTGCTAGTACCGCTAGACAATACAGTTCTACAAACTTTAAAATACCGCTATGTAACTATTACTATACCATGACAGAAGCCTCACCCTTGAAGGCTATTAAATTCCGTCCACCAGCGACTCCAAGAAATGAACTGAGCTTCCCAATGCCTGAACCAAAGACTATCTACTCTTATTTCAGTCCACTACCACTGCACTACAATAAATTAGGTTGAAATTCAATAGTGATCTTTGAAAATGATTTAAATTTACCATGTCTTACAGACAGACCTGTAAGGGACGTGGCCACTTCCGGATGCTCTCGCAGAGAGCACCTTGCCAAGAGCCAGCAAGCCTTTATTGATGGCCACGCCCTCATTGAAGAGCTTCTTGCTGCTGCCCTGAGCGGCATCAGCAGCGCACTGATACTGACGACCGACGCTCTCACTACCAGCCAAGTCCACAACCCACAACACCGACGATCCTTGCTGCCCTCTCGACAGCTAGTTAAGAATAATTGCATTATAATACTTGTAAATTTCAAGCCCAAGCTAATAGCACTGAAAACTGGCGAAGCAAATTTCATTGGCTACAAAATTTCACACCCTTTCACAGCAGAAAAAGCAAGCAATCAACATAAATCCTCTTCTGAACTCTCAATACCATATGCAGTGATCACAAATAACAAGAATCAATGCTAATATATTCAGCTGGAAATGCATCAAGAATTATCGCTCCATAGAAGCCTATCAATATTAGGAAATATCTCATGAAATGTTTAGATTCTGATAATGGTTGACACCAACATATAAATATAACAGATGAAATTTCATGCAAGTCAATTGATTTCATTCAGCATTCTAACTTCATCAGCAGCAGGTAGTAAAAATGTTAGTCCTTCAATGTAATGAATTTCTGTTCCCTTCATTTTCTCTTTCTGATCATCAGAGGTAGTCCCAGTTGAAAGAAAAACATTCAACACAAATGTAAAAAAAAAGTTATATCAACCAATTATTATATCAATATTTACCTTGATTCCAACAAGGGCATGCGAGCGTGAGCTGTGTACATTGAGATTGGTTTTGGCAACGGTGCGTCGTCGGGTTGCTGCAGCTAGCAGAGTCTCCGCACTCTCCACGCACTTCACACACTTCTCCACGCAGCCTGTGGCTTGCATGCCTGTACAAACACACATAATAAACTTGCAGCATATTCTGTTGAAACCTGTGGCAGTGTCCTTATTTTTAGCACAACACACATTTGGGATAAGCATTGTTTGTTTGGGCATTAAAGTAATTCAAGCAGAATTGTTGGAACCGCAGAGGAGTTAAAGGTACCAACTAAATTCCATATCAATTTTTAATATAAAGGAAATCCACTTTGAGCAAAGAAATTCTACTTCCAGCAAGCATCTATACACCAATTTACACAATACTGCCATGGACAATTTTTCAAACATACCTCCTGTCATATCAGGTCGGATAATCAGTTGGGAGCGATTAGAAGTCAATAAATCGTACACTTTTTCATTGTACACTTCCAAGAATGATAACTTGATGCAAAACTTTGCCCTTGCCTTGTCTTGTTTCAGAACGCAAGTTGTTGCATTCATTTTAGGTGTATTTATTTTCATCCCACTCTCATCAGTCATCAGCTGTGAAGGTAATTCAGGAATATCATGCTTATGCCTGCAGGAGCCAGATCCATCACCCTCAATGGCATCTGTATTCAGCACTTCTGAAGAATGTCTTTCAATGAAATTATTACTTTCTGCTGTTCCTTCCATTTCATTATTTCCATTAGTAGCAAAGATTTTGGTAGGGGTAACATCAGTAATTCTTCTATGCTGTGGCTCAGTGCCTCCAGATGTTGCCTTATCCTCATATGCTATTGCATCACCAGATGCTGCTGCATCCAAGAAATCAGCCAGAGCTCTCTGGAGTATTCCTTGGTCCTGGAAATCACAATTTGATCTCAATGTATACTAGTGAATGAGAGTGAGCAAAACTCTATGCTCTTATAGAAATATTATGATTATATAAATTGTCTCAAACTATTACTCTTTGCATGTGAAAGAATAGATCCACAGTGAAGAGAAATAAGGATACACTTTCAATCAATAGCCAATAAGTCTTACGGCGCTTAAAGCATGAATTTTTTACACCATTATAAAAAATTTACAACAAATGCCAAGGGCCTAAATTGAGAGCAAGTCAGGAAGTACCTACCTAGTCTTGGTTCAAATGAGCCCTAACTCAAAAAGCAGTCACCTGAGGTCTTGACTGGAGACCTCCACCAGTCCCCATAGTGAAGGTCTTGCCAGAGCCTGTCTGGCCATATGCAAGGACAGTTGCATTGTAGCCTTGTAGTACAGCCTTCACCAGAGGCTGTACAGCCTTCTCGTATACCGTCTTCTGGGCACAGCATGGGTCAAAAACACCATCCAGCTCATATGTCCTGTTGGATATTGTGTCCTGCACCTGCAAAATAGAAATTTTCATCTTTTTGATAAAAAGCATGTACAAAACATCTGATAGATATACAAGTAAAATTAAGTATGACTCAGCTACATCAGCTTTGATCCTAGTAACAACAGAGTGATCATAGTAACATAGTAATCACAGTGAAAAACCTTCTTTCTCACTTTCATCCAAAAAAGTACTTCTCCGAATAGTAAGAATTGGTGAGATAGAGAAAGGTATATAAATTTGAATTTACATCACAAAGCATTTTTGAAACAAACAAACTTGTAACACTGAATTGAAAATCAGTGAGACATCTGATCAATTCAGCAGTTTCCTTTATGAAAGTTAATTAGAAAAGCTAAAAATAACAAAGCCTTTTCTAAATGGGACATTTTCACAGCTTGCATGCAATTTCTGAACTCCTCAAGTCTTGTGTATCAATTGTGTAACTTTGGCATTGCATTTGGCACGCCAGCTTGTAATTCCAGACAGGAATTTTCCAGCTGAGTGGAAGATTTGACAAAGCAAGAAAATATGTTCAACATTCGGGTCAATGATTTGTTGTCAAGCTTATCACAACACAAGCTAGCTCATCCATAAAATTTAAATAGCACCCTCCTCAAATTACATACATACCTACTGACAAAATTTAATCAACTGTTCAAAAGAAAAATGTCAGATTTGAAATCTATAATGAAAATCAACAATGATCTGCATCAGTTTTTACCATCTGCACTGCACCTGCAGTGATCTAAAACATCTGTATTCTTTAGTCTGTTTTGATCATTTGCCAGCTTCTGTTAAACCTACCATGAAATGCGGTAATAAGGGATGGTTTTGAGCATTTTTTGTTAACAATTTCTTACCATTCAACATTTCATAAACAAGTTTGGGCTCATTTTAAAGATCTTTGCGAGAGCTATTGAATGGCATCTAAATAATTCCATATGCTATATGTAAGGTGCCAGACAAAAAAATAAAAGCATCCCAAATTACCCCTGGGAATGGGGTAATCTGGGACACTTGAAATAAAAGTCAATTTCAAAACGTTTGAAGCATGCAAAGTGTACTCATCCATTGCTAACAGTACTCAGAAGTCCTCCTCTTCCTTTGTAGATGTAGAATAAATGACATTTTCTATATTTTTAAACTTGCTTTTCCATTATTGATATGATATTACCATATCCATACATTATTGCATTATTGATGTAATATTACCCTATCCATGGACATGCCATTGTGTTACAATAACCTTGTCCACTGCAAGCTTCATATCAGCAGCTGTAGCATTTCTAGTACATTTTCTCATTTATGGAAAAAAAGGGCTGTTGTGCTTGTCATGTCTATGTTACTCTTTGCATGTGAAAGAATAGATCCACAGTGAAGAGAAATAAGGATACACTTTCAATCAATAGCCAATAAGTCTTATGGCGCTTAAAGCATGAATTTTTTACACCATTATAAAAAATTTACAACAAATGCCAAGGGCCTAAATTGAGAGCAAGTCAGGAAGTACCTACCTAGTCTTGGTTCAAATGAGCCCTAACTCAAAAAGCAGTCACCTGAGGTCTTGACTGGAGACCTCCACCAGTCCCCATAGTGAAGGTCTTGCCAGAGNCGCCGTATTAAAAAATTTTACTTACATAAAAGTTGCACCCAGGTGTCGGCTTGAAAACGTAATTGACAGAATTTGCATATATCATTCGAAAAAAATGGCAGCCATTTCTGCGTGATGGGGTAAAAAGGGACACCCTCCCCCTGGGGTAATTAGGCTTTAGGGACACCCTTAAAAATGCATTTACAGTAGAACCTCAGTTAGCAAAGGTTCCAGTTAACAAAACAAAATGATTAACAACAAAGAATTTTGAATACATTTACCTCACTCAGTGAAAAAATTCACTTATCAAAAAATTAGTGCATCATCGGTCGTTACAAAATTGTACATAGAATGCTATATATAGAATTGTGCACAAGGCATCATAGAATGAAAAGTAATTGACCGAAACTATGATTTCTTTCTCCAAAACATATGATGGTTGTCACTAAAACATTATTTTCTGTTTCAGCCTTTCAGGTATTTTTTTCACAATCTTTTTTGTTATAGTGAAATCACTTGACTGACTCGATTAAAATTGTGCCAAATTACAAACCTTGACCAGCTTGCCATGGACAAGGTCATTGTCAATGCTCAATGGCTTATGGCATGTCCATGAATACAGTAATATCACATTAATAATACGGTAATTAATGAATATGGTAATATCATATCAATAAAGGAAAAACAAGTAAAAATTACAGGAAATGTCATTTATTTTACATCTACATCATCTACAATCATAACACGAAAGAGGAGAACTTCAGGTTCAGAGTACTGTTAGTAATGGATGAGTACACTCTGCATGCTTCAAACGGTTTAAAGTTGACTTTTATTGCAAGTGTCCCAGATTACCCCATTCCCAGGGGTAAGTTGGTATGGTTTTATTTTGCATCTATGATCTGGCACCTTACAAATAGCATATGGAATTTTTGGAACTATTGGAAGATGCCATTAAATAGCTCTTGCAAAGAGCTATAAAATGAACCTAAAATTGTTTCTGAAATGTTTCATGGTAAGAAGTTATCAACACAAAACGCTCAAAACCATCCCTTTTTACCCCGTTTGATGGTAGCAAAAATGTTGAACTTCATGCCTCTATTTTTAGTTTTGCAATATTTTGATTAGTTTAGCTGCTACAACACTTCTACCATGAAATGTTGGACTCCTGTCCTGACTCATGAAGTTCTGAACTCCCAAATCCCAATTTACTACCTAACCCATCCCTTACCTATATTTAGTTTGTCAATAATGTTTGTTAACTACAGTAATTAAAACTACTTATATAGTGGAATATTTAGCTACATGAGCAACCCATGGTGGCAAACAAATTTTTTGCCAGACTCATTTTCAGACGCGTTCATAACTTTGTAATTTACGTTCACTTTTTGTTATTTTACTACACTGGGCCCGATATGGCATGTATTAAGTATTTTCAAAGTTTGTTATGTTTGAATGTTCTACTTTTGATTTAATTTATGTTTTGTATCACAGGTTCACAATGGTAACTGCAATGGCTTCCGATTGCTGTTGCCACAACGAGATCGAGAAGTAAACAGTACCCCCGTTCCAAGGAATATCAGCTGTTACATGTTAGATTGGGATACAGTCACTAGAATAAGGTAACAAGTTTGATCAAATTTTGGTTAATTCAAATTTTAGCAATTATTTTCAGATGACAAGACATTTTTACAGATAACCTTATAAATTTTGTCTAAACTATAAACCAGATACCGGCTTGTTAACTATAAAATAGCTTACTATATTACTTACCAAATTGGCACTCATTTAGTTGAGGTCAAATTTGCTATCATGGTCATACATAACTTACGGAAACAAAGGATTAATGATATGCAAACCACGGCACAGCTCATTTAGATTGGTTGCTGTAATCTTTAGCTTCTTGAAATTTCATAGATGATATCAAAGATATTGTTAAATGAATGTATATGAAATTGATCAGGCCTTTTTTATTTACATCAAGGGAGAGAAGTCTCGGACAATGTTCGAGACGTAAGTGAGAGCGAGTGCCTTGGCTTCTTTGAAAACCAATTTTGAGCATAAAATTATTACAAAAAAGCAGAGAAGAATCGTATTTAGATAAAAATTTAACAATAATTATTTGGGGTTGTGCTTTTAAGACAAGAGGTTCCTCTATAGATATTATTTGTAGAATATGTGATTTAGTATTGGCAATTTTATGATAAATATTCATATCTACAATCCCACGTTTCCATTTAGATGTAACTCCATTGCAATAAACGTAGAAAGTTGGTCGTTTTATTTTTGCCTCTATTATTAAGGTTACTCTAAGAAATTACAAACCCCTTCCTGCTTTCAAATAAAGTCTAAGAACCATTTTGTTATGGCAACATGCATCCCTGCTTGGTGTAGCTGGGATCGGTAATCCCTTATATTAGCGAATCCCGTTGCAATTGTCAAATACCATATACCAAGAATGCAGCTCCTGTACTGACATTGTCGTATCAGCTATCATTATTATTATTATTGAAAATGATTTGCATCATTTTGGAAACGACACATTAAAATTCCTATGACACATTTGAATAGCGTATCTTTGCATACTATAGTCAACTAGATTAACAATACTTTTCAGCGAGCGCTGTCAGAATTAATTTAGATTTTAGCTAGCGCGATATATGCTCCTTTTTGCACGTTGTCGCATAAGTTTATATAATAGAAACCAAGCTTGACCCTTTCAAAGACGAAGCTATATATTCAAAATACTCTACTGCAAGCGCATATGGCAGTATTTGTAACTATAACCTCTCAAACAATTTTACGGCCGGGCTCACGGCCTGTCTCCAAGTTTCAGTGAGCTTAAAGTATCTCTAATTAATCAACGCAGCTTGATGAAAATTTGCACATGCGTTCAGAAAGACCTAACAGATATTCAGGCCGTGATATTTTTTTCAATTTTGCTTTCCTTTACGAGTTATGCTGTCCTAAGTTTGTTGTGAGCCTAATATATATCCAATCCATCTGCACAAGCTTTCCAATATTACTAGAAAAGGACGGCAGAAGCAAAAAAATCATCACAATATAAACTTTGCCATTAGGCCCTATTGAACATGTGTGCAAAGTTTCATCAAGATGCATTCCTTAATTTGGGAGATATTTAAGCCTTTAAGGTTCACTGAAATTTGTAGACCTGCTACATGTCAGGCTGTCAATGTGTCCAAGAGGTATAATGGTTGAACTAGCATAAGGTTGACCCATGAGAAGCTCATTTTTGCGAATTTAGTTTGTTGTTTGCCTGTTATGTCACTGATCTCAGTGACGTCACAGGCATTAACAAATCATCAAAATGCGATCAAACCAATCCGTCATGGGAATGACTAGATTGTTCATGTAACTCAATCTACGTGACGTAATAAGAAAGCTGAACTGAAAGACAGAAGTCTTCGTGGGTCAACCTTATAAAGTTCAACCATATATATAATATACACATGTGAAAATGAAGCTGACACAAAATTAAAATAAGAAGTAAATTCTTACAACGCTCATAACAACGTATTGTAAATAAACATCTTCATTATTAATTAGGTCATAATTGGTTTGGATTTGAAATAATTATACGTGCCAAGTTTCATAAAAAAATCTGGCATGCCAATAAAAATAAAAAGTCTTCCAGCACATACAGTAGCATATTGTCAATAAATAGATACATATTTACTTATGTCAAGATCGATTCAGATTTGAAGATCTTAGAGGGAAAAAGTGCAAAAAAGTATCATTTAGCACATTCATTAAAATTAAAGTACCTAGGTAGAAGCAGAAATACCTGGTCATGCTCGCACAAGGGCATTGTGAGTGAATAATTTCATTTTTAATTTGGTAATTATCACTTATTTTCAATTTCATAAACTTATGCGTGGAAAAAGTGCTATGAAACTTAGTTCTGTAAATTTGTTTTAAAATATCATACACGGTGTCGAATCGATATGTCAATTGCAAAAAAATCCCTCAACAAAGAGTTTGCTCTAAATTAGGAATTGAATTGAAAACAAAATCCAGAGTAGAGCGGATGCGGATTAGAAAGGAATGAACGTCTTCGGCTCTCTGCTATGACAAACTAGAGTATCTTTTTCGAAAGCATTGAACAAACTCAACTTCTAAATCTGATCTTTGAACGTGAAGTTTTGAACGAGTATTGTTGTTGCCAGACGTATGTAAACTGGCGTCACGTGTGGTTGTCGATGCCTGCGCTGCCAGTACCAAACAGTCCAAACTTGCATTGTTGTCTCAGCCATAGTGGCAAACCAGAGATTTTTTAGAATCAGTTCATTTTTAATTTCCTCATTTACCCCAGATTTTAACAGATTTCTTATGTATGATAACTCTGGTATCCAAGATACTTTACTGGTCTACTTATAGGACTCAAAAATGAACTTGAGGAAGAGTCTAAAAAACTCTCTGCTTTGCCACTATGGTCTCAGCAGAGCAGAACCTAGTACCTACTAACATTGGAGTCTTGGAGACAGAGATATGTAAAAACTAATTTTTTAAAATGTAAATTTATTTGTAAACTGAGTTATATTTTGACTGTTTACCATGATACCATCGGCGTTCATAAAATTGTGATGCAATGCATACGCTTAATTTGCGTTCAGAAATTGTATATGTTTACCCTAGAAAAAAAATATGTTCTCGATTGCCACTATGGTCAGCAACCTAGTGCCACTTATCAAATACTTTTAAAAAGGGTGAATTCAATAGATTATAGGCTAGGCCTAGGTAGAAGTTGCAAACTTGCAATGAGTTCATCACTCATTGACTGATTGAGTCTCATTCAAATTTCATTTCAATGAAATAAATTGCAAAAAAAAAGTTATCTCACTTATCAGTTTCACACTTTGCACTTTACTGACAATAGCTAGTAGCTACCATACCTAATTGATGGGATTTGGCAATTAAACTTACTATTCTGGTAATATCGATTTCATTTTAAAAGCCCTGACTACTTACCAAATTTTGGGAGTAGTCAGGAGTTAATACTGCTCGGTCAGACTCAGGAGCATCTTGTACTGGATGTGGACGAAGAAACACTTTAAAATTTAATTCTGCCATTGACAGAAGTAAAACTTGGTATGAAACTTTCAAGAAAACGTTAATAGTTAATACGGCTGCATGAAACTAAATTACTGGCTTACACGACCTTATGATATCACGTTCGCGGTTCGCGACACTGGGCGTTGTTTCGACCTCAGTTGCCAACTGCCAAGCACGATTTTGAACATTGACGCCAATTTGCGAACGTTTCGCCTTTTCAATCAATTCAGCACTGGTTGAATGGTAAACTTTTATATTGCAGTTATTTATTTTTTTAAATCAGAATAAAATTAAATCTATCGAAGTTTTAATCTCATTCATGGATAAAACTGTTGAGTAAAATAACAGTTACATAAATAACTTCATGTTCAAACTAGTTCAACATTGAATAATTTAGCGTTTATCTCATACTTTTTCTCACTAATTGAAAACGAAGACCTCTAAACCTCTTCGACACTGCTGCGACGAATTTTTGGTTGCGAATTTTTACAACAGGGTTTCTATGCATCCTAAGGTTTTCTACATTTTCTATGTTTTTTTTTTTCTCGCAACAGGTTTTCTACGCTCTTATCAAAACCGATCTTGACCAAATTTAAAAAGATGTAAATTAGCCACAACACGCTTCTGCGAACGTTGTTAATTTCTTCTATTTCTTCAGTAGGTTTTCCACGCGCAATTTAGTCAAACAGAAACCAATCTTGCCCTAATTAACAATGCTGCTATGCTATTTATTGACAGTACGCTCCTGCAAACGTTGTTAGAATTTTTCTATCCGTTGTGTTTTACCACACTAATCGTAAATATTTCGGAGCACTTAATTCAGAAGTTTTTGCAAATCGAAATCGATCTTGAACTTGTTAACAACGAAGCTATTTAGTCATAATGACATTTTCGTTAGACTTCAGCGAGGGTTGTTACATTTATTCTCTTCGCTTCGTTAGCGCTTAGCGCGCTAAATGCGAAGATTCAGACCACTTTGCACGCTTAACGAACTTAGCATACATAAAAACTTACGCATTTATAACGTGCTAAAAAGTAACATTTATTTAAATTGAAGTGGACAGAAAAACGTGCTACTGCGCTTGCACGAGCGTATTGTGAATAATTAGCATCGTTTTAATTGGTTAAGATCGATTTGGTTTGAGATATTTATTTTTAAAATTCTTCCCAAAAGTTTCAGAACGGTAGTAATGAGGCGTTTTTCTTTAATATAGAAAATTCAGCCAAAAAGAATGCGAATAAATTCATTAATCATTATAAATGAATGCGATTTTTTTGCGATAGGTATAATGGGAAACATTGAACATAGAGCCCGGCAGCACCCGAAACCGGAACTCAGAATAGTTTTACGAATTAAAATATAATTTGGTGACCAGCCGACGGGATAACATCACGGAAGGTGATCAGCGTCGCATGACCTCTGACAATAGTGCGGAACTCTGCTTTGTCGCTCTGCCGCTTGCTCCGGCATCAGGGGTGGGCGTACATAGGGCGGATGGATGTGCAACACGGTCAAACTATATACTATACTATATACTAGTTCAACTATATATACTAGTTCAGTAGTTCAACTATGGATGTGCAATTGTTACAGTCAGCCCTGCCAACGGACATATATGGCGCACAATAGATACATCCACAAACGACTTGAAAAATAACTCTATATATCATCGAATAGTAGTAACTTTTAGCCCGGGTATTGATAATCGAGCCCAAGGCATCGATGATCACTGTAATTTTGTACTGCTTTTATAACAAATATAGACAATAAGAATAAAATTAAGAAGTAATACTTATAAATATAGAAGTTAAAATAAACACCATCAAAAACATATAGTTCTCATTTGACTCTCGTTTCAAACGAGAGTCAAACTCTCTCGATTAGAGAGAGTGAGTGAGATTAACTCTCATTTGACTCTCGTTCAAAAAATGTACATTTTTTACATCCATATTTGCCATGCCTCACTATCCGCCCACTGAGAATAAAAAGGCAATAAATAAATTAAGGCCACACAGGATTTCAGGTTATCAGATTATAGTAAATAATTGTCGTTGGTTATTCCTAGGCAATTAGTTTCATGCAAATAGCCAGTGAAATAGCTTGTCCTTCTTCGGAAAATTGGCAGAATCTGGGCATTAGTCTATTTATCAATTGCTTCAAAAATTTCACAGTGCAATGGAATATCTAAAAACTTTATAATTAAAGGCATCAGAACAGATTCAAGTAAAATAAAAGATATTATACCTAAATTCACCACTGTTTTACAGTTTGCATTTTGAAAATCTAGGGTTATTCATTCACATTGAGTTGCCGTCTCATAAATCGGTAAACGGGTTCGGAAACTGCATAGCTTTAGGTGGGAAAATTCTGCACGAATCTTGGCAAAATTTTGTGTTCTTTTGGATTGTTGTAAATTATTTTATTTTAACTGGATTCAAGAAGAATGTGTACAATGAAGTGGTCGTAAATCGAATATTTTTTACACGAAGAATTGGAAACAAGCAAATAAAACATCACGACACAGATTTTGTTAGAGCTAACGAATTCGATTTCCCAAAACAACACAGATAGGAAATAAACACATTATTTTATTTTGATTTAAACTTCGATTGTGTTAATTAAACTGGAAAGAATCATTCAAAGAACAATAGTTCCATTTTAACGACTTAACTCATTGCAATTAATTAGGGAATTTGCTATTCTGCTCTATCATGCTACCATTTAACTATAGCAGCAGAAGGTCAAACCGGTGGTCAGAGGCTGGGCGGATGGGAAGTGTACACTTAGAGAAATGAATGGGTTATATTGTCCAAATTACGACACACTTTTTTACCAACAGTACGAGCAGAGAGCGGACGTAGCACTGATACGTCATTTTGCCGGGCCACAGGGCCAGGATGACCCAGACGTGGGCAAAATGTCTATGGTTACTTGGACAAAGTCCCCCCACTCATTTCTCTGCGAGTACAGAGCGGACCGGACCTATGGTGACCAGCGATGACCAGCGGACCGGACCTATGGTGACCAGCGATGACCAGCGGACCGGACCTATGGTGACCAGCGATGACCAGCGGACCGGACCTATGGTGACCAGCGGACCGGACCTATGGTGACCAGCTATGACCTTGCGCAGGACTCGGTGCTTGTGCCGCAACTCTCACTTCCTCGTTTACAATTGGCCGGCGCACGACCGCGCAAGAGAAAACATAAACGCTTTAAAAACAGAGCTCGCTCGAGTGCTCCATTAAACTGGCTATTATTTAAGAGAGCGCTGTATTTTTTCCACTCATAATCTTTAAAGAATTGGAATATTTTAAAATAAGCTCAGCTAGATGCTGAATATCCGAGATACAAACTTTGTAATATTTTAAAATTTAATTATCTTAGATATATAATTAGTTCTCACAACCTTAAGTTTAAATATGATCGGTGAAATCAATGGCATGCAGAGGAAAACGGCTATAAAATAATGAAACTATACCAAATAAATGAATTTTTTCTAAATGCGAAGTAATCATTAGGAATTAAAAAACTGCAGGATTTATTAATCTTGGACATAGAAGGCCAAAAACTGCAGGATTTATTAATCTTGGACATAGAAGGCCAAAAACTGCAGGATTCATTAATCTTGGACATAGAAGGCCAAAAACTGCAGGATTTATTAATCTTGGACATAGAAGGCCAAAAACTGCAGGATTTATTAATCTTGGACATAGAAGTCCAAAAACTGCAGGATTTATTAATCTTGGACATAGAAGTCCAAAAACTGCAGGATTTATTAATCTTGGACATGTAAGGCCAAAAACCTGCAAGTATTTCAGAAAGTATGAGAAAGTGTAACAATCAAATGAATGGTCTACCTTCACTCCTGTAGGCAGTCAGACCGTGCGAGTCAAAGTAACTACATGTAGCGTGTATATACATCATACCTAGAGTGCCTTGACGCGTGTCGGAGGTCACGTGCTACGATACTGTAGATTCACTGCGCTATGATGCCTGACTGTCCTCTTAATGATAAAAATCAATAAATATATGGTACCAATAGACTTAGTACCATTTATATAATACCAAAGAACTTTGTATATAGAACCAATAGTAGGAGTACAGTCAGAGGTGGGCAGTAGCGCGCTACATGTAGCGGCCGCTACTAGCCGCCACTACATTTTCAGTAGCGGTAGCGGTAGCGGCTCTACATTTAAGCAATTGTAGTCTTCCCTACATGGATGTCTACTTTAATCTACCAATCTCAAAAATAATCCACATATATACAAATAAAAGAGTGATTTTTTTATATGTATACCTATGTGGATAATTTTTGAGATTGGCAGATTAAAGATTTTTGAGATTGGTAGATTACTTTATATAACCCGTACTAGTTCGGTTAGGTTAATTGCAATAAAATCGCATTGATATGTTTTGAAAATGTTTTATTATCATTAAATGTTTATGAGTAAATCCCAATAACAGAACAACAAATATTTAGAGTTTTCCAATAATTTTGGCCATTGTAGCGGCTAATGTAGCGGCGCTACATTTTACTGTGGCGGTAGCGCCCGCTACATTTAGAGCATGTAGCGGTAGCGGTAGCGGTGCTACATTTCAAAGTACTATACTACATTTCAGAGTACTATACATAGACGCTAGTGCTTTCGTTTTTAATAGTGACTACAGTGTTAAGCTAGGCGTCCACTCTTGCATTTTGTATACACATTGTACGATTCTATGACGGTAAAAATTGTGGAAAATATTCAAAGAAAACATACGGAACGTGTTCTGGCTTCCATGTATTTTCATCTCCGCTGCTGTATCTGCCTGTTTGACTATGTATGTATTCAGCTTATTCAACTGATAATTCGGGCGTATAATCAAGAATCAAGTTTTAATTATCATTTATTGATATTACAGCAAAAATACTCTGAAATAGGCACCAGAAACGCGTGTGTTCAAGCAAGGTTTTTTGCATCTCCCAAAAGTTCTTTTATAATTGAAATTTTAATTTAACATAATGCATTATTCGTAAATCACCTTATAAATGAATAATGGATCCGATGAACGAGTGTGCATTTGACGAAACACATTTCGCTTGCTTGCTCAGATGTGAAATGACATTTTACGCAGTCTGCATGATGCCAAATTCCTTCCGTTAGCAACAGGGCGAGAAAAA